TTACGTTGACCCCTCCGACCTTTCAGGGCTCTACAACATCCACGAATTCAGTAGAAGGGTTTGGATTCCTCGTGGAAACGTTGCATGCATCTATGAAACCAATAGCAACTTTTGACGGCAAGGGCTCAGTCCTGACATTTTTGGAGCAATCGGACCTACATTTCACCTTACGCCCTTTATCAGCTACAAAAGGTGATTATAGTTACTACAGCCTTAAAAGGTCAAGCCCTTAGCTGGCAGAAGAGTATACGAAAGTTTTCCCAGGTTTCTTCAAGACAACTTGTTGGGGGACCCAGGATCTAAATCATATAACTGGAAAAATTTCAAGTCTGCGTTACTAAAAGCATTTAAAGTTCTTAAAGATCGTGCGAAGCTTGAATTAGAATTGTATAGTAAATACCAAGGCGGTTTCGAGGATTTGACGGAGTTCATTTTAAGAAAAGTTCATATTTTTAATCTATTATACGGGGAAAAGCCCGATAAAGAAATTATCGAACTAATTCTACCGCGTCTTCAACCATCAGCGCAAGATTTCCTCGAAGTGCGTAATCCGCAAACATTAGAAGTTCTATTTCAGCTTGCTGTGAAATTCCAAAGTAGAAGAAACTCGGAGAAAGCGCATGCAAGTCAGTTTGGCCATTACTCAAGATTTACTTCCCAAAAGAAACCACTAGTTCAGTACAAGGCGTATCGGCAGACCGGAAAAAAGTGAAAAGTTCAATAACAAGAGCGCAGATAAATCTAAGGGCGGTGGATATAAAAATCAGCGAAAAGAGGCGGCAGGTAACCAGAATTTAAACGCAAACCGGTGATCGAGAAGGGGCAACGGTCACCGAGTGGGAAAGAAGACCCCTCAGACATTTGTTTAAATACAGTGGTGGTACAAAATCTAGCTATGCCCGAGGTACAGATTCTGGTAAATAATGTACCAACCACTGCACTCCTGGACACAGGGGCACAATGTTCATTCCTATCGGAGAATTTTTTTAAAAAGCATTTTCGTCGTTACAGACTGTTTAAAGCTACGGGACAGAAAGTAATTGCCGCCCAAGGCAAACAGTGCGTATGTTTGGGGAAAACCGCACTGCATGTTCAGATTAAAAACGAGGTTCTAAAAATTAATTTTTTAGTCGTGAAAAATTTACTCACGTCAGTTATATTGGGGGTCGATTTTTTACGCGCATCCGGCGCAAATCTTAATTTTCAGAATTCTACGTTTCAGGTGCACATGGACCCGGTAGAAGAAGATGAAGTTTCCATGCCGGAATTGCATTTAGAACATTTGAAGCTCGAAGAGAAAAAGAAGATTGAAGGACTGGTAAGGAAATTTAATTCTTTGTTTAACGACAAACCTGGTTTTTGTCAGGTAGTTAATCATTCCATAGACACTGGGAATGCCCCTCCAGTCCGGTCGAAGCCCTATAGATATGATAAAACGAAAGAAAAAATTATCTAGAAGCATATTGAAAAAATGATAGAAAACAAAATAATCGTGCCTAGCACGAGTTCGTACGCAAGTCCGGTGGTCCTTTGTAGAAAAAAGAACGGACTACCGCCTGAACACCCGGACGCGTATAGGTTTGCAGTTGATTATCGTAAGTTGAACAGTATAACAAAATATCCCACGTATCCCCTACCAATAATTGACGAAATAATTAGAAAAATTCGCTCGACTAAATTCATGACAACCCTAGACCTCACTTCGGGTTACTTCCAAATCGCCGTTAAGCCGGAGGATGTCCAGAAGACCGCATTTATAACAAAATCAGGCGTCTATGTCCTTTTTAAGAATGCCCTTTGGTTTAAGCGGAGCGCCAGGCTACGTTCCAAAAAAGCTAATGGACATAAGTCTTGAAGGCCAGTTTTAGGTAAAAGTACAATTATTTATCTTGACGATATCATAGTTGCCAGCGAAACATTAGAGGAACATTTGAAACATTTGGAAGAAGTTTTTGCCTTACTTAACGAGGCCGGTTTCAAAATAAATGCAAGTTCGCGGCAAAGGAACTGCGATACCTCGGATACAAAATCTCTAATAAGGGAATAGAGACTGATGATTCAAAAATTAAGTCAATTGAATGCTATTCTCCCCCAAATACGGCTAAGAAATTGTCTTCATTTTTGGGCTTATGTTCCTATTATAGAATGTTCATAAAGGACTTTGAGAAAATAGTTGAGCCTCTTCTAGTGCTAAAAAGAAAGAAAAGTAGATTTTCGTGAACAGCCGAGGCGAACACCGCGTTTGAACAACTAAAGAATGCCCTAATCAATGCCCCAGTCCTTTAAATTTCCAGAAGGCGAGCAAGGTCTAGAAATTTCAGCGGATGCATCCGATTACATGCAGTTGGAGCGGTGCTCTTCCCAAAATGGGCAACCTATAGCTTTTTTTTTTTTTTCGAAAACCTTGAATACTATATAGAGGAACTATTCCGCTACTGAGCGAGAAACGCTCGCTGTGTTATTAGCAGTTCAGAAGTTTCGTGTCTACTAAGTTCACCGATAACGGTCTACTCAGATCATGCGGCAGTGGGTCGCTTGTATTCAGGAAAAATATTATCGCCTCACTTGATACGGTGGACTTTAAAATTACAAGAGTTCAACTTAATCATAAAAGAAAACTTAATCATAAAAGAAGAGACCAGGAAAAGAAAACTTGGTCGCCGATGCCCTTTCGCGAATAAAAATTGATGAAGAGGGAAAAACAATCAAGTGTGCTGTGTTCACCTCAAGAGTTATTGAGTCCCGTGAAACAGTCGAAGAACCTGAAAAAGGACCCGGAATTTAAAGATATTTACGCATACCTGGAAGACTCTGAAAAATTTGAACATATAGATTTAACGGCTATTCGCAATAGGGCACAGCATTACGAAATAATCGACAAATTGTTATTTTATACAAAGGTAACGAATGAAAATCAGGAATACCGACCAGTAATCCCAGCGAGTCTACGTTTAAGTATCTTAGAGGAGTTGCACGATCTACCATCTGCCGGACATTTCGGAATACTAAAAACAATAAAGAGGGTACGAAGCGGTTATTTTTCCGCAGTTTACAGAAAGTTGTTACAGCGTATGTTAAGTCGTGCCATATGGGCCAATTAATAAACGATGTTAATTACAGCCCGGCCGGGTATTTAAAAAACATAAAGACCACTTTTCCAAATGAAATAGTTAGCATAGATTTGCTCGGACACTACCCTAGGACAAAAATAAATAAAAACAGATATACTTTAACAATCATTGACCATTTTTCAAAATGGGTAGAAATAGTCCCTCTTAAACGAGCTTCAGCTAAAGTAGTCGCAGATTCGTTCTTAAATAAATATATATTAAAATACGGGGCCCCACTAAAAGTAATATCAGATAATGGAAAACAGTTTGTTAGTAGTATATTTAAAAATTTGTGCACAGGACTTGGCATACGCCATCTAAAAATGGTACCGTATAGACCGCAGTCGAATATAGTGGAACGCGTAAAAATAAGAATATTGTAAAAATTATCAGGGGATATGTGAAATGAAAATTTTCATGACCGCTGGGGCAGCTGTGTCAATGAGTTAGATTTTGCCTTGAGAACCGCAAAGCACGATACTATGCAGAAGACCCCCGCGGAGTTATTTTTAGGAAAAGTCATAACACCTTTGGATAAGCTGTTCTTTGTACAACAGAGACAAGAAGAATTCAAGTTAAAAGACATTCAAAAAATTATCGAATATGCAATTAAAAGCTCTGATATAGCAAGACAAAAACAAAAAGTTTATTACGATAGAAATGGAAGGGAATTTGAATATAAAGTGGGACAGAAAGTTCTTAAGTTGAAATATTCGTTATCATCGGCAGCAGAAAACAGAGTTGCGAAGTTTGAGCCCAGGTTTGAAGGGCCGTACATGGTGGAAAGAATAAGAGAAACCACGTTTTATTTAAAGGCCGAAAATGGCCAACAACTGGTTGCAAATATCGATCAGTTAAAACCTTATTACAGCCGCACTGTAAAATATTGCAGGATTTATTACAGGATCCTGGATGTAAGGAGAGAAGCCCGCCAGCTCAAGAACACAGCTGGAGTCCCCCAACACAAAAAAGAAAGTAGAGCCAGCAAACTTCGACCAGGGAAACCCATTCCAGAAATGCTACAAGCGCACAAAATAGAAGTTAGCACAGACAGATAAACGAGTCAGAACCGAGGATTCTGCAAAACTCAAGTACCATCGACCACAAGAGGGAGGCCTACTGACAAGGTTCCAGGAAAGGAGAAAATTCAACGACGAATGAAAACTAGACGTAAAGCACAGTTTCCAGCATCAACAACTACAAGGGAGACCCAAGGAGGACCAGCATGGAGACCGAAAAGCCAGAAAAGACCTGTAGACACAACCGTGCCGGACCAACAAGTTACAAGGGCCAAGAGAAGATTGAAAGACCCTGAAGGACGGATATCCCCGCCGGAGCAAAACAAGGAAATTGGCATTCCAGAATCCGCAGCCCGCCCGCAAGAGTCCCAGATTCCTAGACAAGAGGAAAAAAAAGGAAATGATCAGAAGTAAACGGAAGCGGAACATCAAGGCTCGAGAAGAAGATTGGAGGTCATCAGATTCCCTACATTGGAACAATTCTCTGTAACATCAGAATGCAGGAATACAGAAAAAGATAAGTGAAAATTTCTTTGCTGATTTTTCTTTGAAGTTCAAATTATATCATCTTGCTTATCATATACGTTGCTAAAGATGTTTAGAAAAGTTAAATCGCAGAAAGCGAAAGATTGGTTGCAAATGTTCGTAAGCATCATAGATTTTTATGTTAGTAATTTGGTGAGAAGCTACTAGCGTTAAATACTTTTTGTTAAGAACTCGCAAGTTGCGAGAAGTAAATACGAGATGTAAATTGTGAATAAGTTTAGTCGGAAGACTATTAGAATTGAATACTAAATCTGTTAACGTAAAGTTAAGATTTCGTGTAAATATTGGTAAATTTTAATTAAGCAACTATGACTGTTGATGTAAAATGAATTCAAAAATGATGTGTAAATATTTAAATGTTCATGTTCATGTAGAAATGTTTAATCTTTGTGTTGAAATATCGTAAAGTTAAAATGACATGAAAACAAATTTTTATCTCTGTGTATTGGAATTGTGGAAGAATTGGAATATATATATATATGTGTGTGTGTGTTTAATGTTAGGCTCTCCAGTTAACACGTTTAAAAGTAAAATATAAGCTTTCGCTTACTACATTAGGAAAGAGTTTTCGTGCAGGGAGTCTTGAAAGGTCTGGTGTGTCAAATTTAACAAAATTAGGTGTTGTGTAGCGGTAGTTTTGTTCGCGGTAACACAACATAGAACACCTTAAGTACATTTCAGTACATTTGCTGGAGAGCGTGGGTGAAATAAAACTGTAGTATGAATGAAAGTGCATGAGGGCCAAATGATGAAATAAAAGCGTAAAATTAGGATTTAAGAAAAGCTTCGTAAAATGTATTACTAATGACATTTCTTTCCAGATATGGAAGGATCAAGACCTGACATAGTTATAACAGAATAAAGTGTCCATTCATGAAGATGTATGTCAGGATATATGTCCAGAAAGGATCAATTGTAAATTTTATTTTTCCTAGCTTTATTCTAGCTTTTAGAATTGTTGTAAAGTTGGCCCTGAAAACGAAACTTTAAAGTCATTTAGTTAATTTAAAAGTTGGAAGAGTGTAGTTGGAAGATTTCAGACTTTAAAGTCTTAAACAAGGTCGTTTTGAGACCTTATTTTTCGAGTATTTAAAGTCTGGTCGGAATCTATGTAAGGATTATGTTAATTTTATTAACAGTTAAATTTTAAGTTCCTTTCCTGTCAGATTCTTAACTTCAACTTACTACTTCCGGCCAGAACGTAGTTTTAAAATTTGCTGAATATTTAATGAGGAGGAGCGGTATTTAAACCACGAAGTTACTTACTGAGTCAGAGAGAATCTGAGTTTCTGATTTACGCGCGTCTGCCTTTTTGGCCACTCTCTCTCTCAAAGCTGTTATTACGCTCGGCCGTACTCAGGCCCTTGCTAAGCTTCGTAGTAAAATAAGGCCAACTCTAATTGAACCTTGATAGCTTCGGCTATACTTCTTTAGTTAATTCTTAGTTTTAGTTCAATCCAAGTCTTTTACGTTTCAAGTTTTTGTACACTAGGCCTTTTGTTCCTTTTGTTACCGAATAATTATTCGCTTTCAGTTTCTTGTCATTACCTTCCAGATTAATTAACTTTAAGTGAGATACTCTACACAATAATTATCGCATGCTTCATCTAGGAAGAAATCCTATACGCAGGCAAGCATGAATTGCAGGATGGCTTTTCTTGGTAAATTTTGCAGGGTTTTATAATTATTTTCAGTAATAGATTTTCTGATTCTTGGAGCTGAATTGAGACTTCTAACTGCAGGTCATGGTGCATGATTGCATTTTTTGGAATTCATTCAATTAGAACTTTATTATTTAAATTAATAGGTTTTATTTCATCTTTATTTCTTCTAATAGCTTTAGCAATTTTCCACACGGAGTAATTAATATGTGATAGACTGGTAACGTAGTTGTTCCAGCTGTCGTCTTTATATTCGTTGATGAGTTTTTTAACTGTTCTGTTAGCTTGATTGAAATTTCGTTTATCGATGGGTTCTAAAGTTCTATAATAAATTTTTCGAAGCCTGTTCTTTTCTTTAATCTTGTTAAGAATGTACGTAGAAAGAGCGAATTTTTCTGGATGAATGGCTGATTTAGATTTATTGAGTGCTTCGTGCATGCTATGGGTGAATTTGTCAATAACTAAACTGAGAGGTTTTTCTCCTTTTTATAAGATTTTAAAACGCGCGCGAGAATTTTCTGGAATTTTCTCGAAATCAAAAAGAGATATTTATTTATTTATTAAATGTTAAATGCACGTGCTCTTGTATTTTTAACTTTTTCGGCTTAGCTTTCTCGTAATATCCGTCACGCGCTGCACTGCACGGGAAATAAAACAATTTAATTTATAAGTCTACTAACATTAGCTGTTTAAATACCAAATTCGTAACAATATATATATTTTCATGAAAGTCTATTCAGACCTTTAAGTAAAGTGTCACTTCCGTTTATCAATTTTAGGCAATGCTTAATGTGCTGTTCCCATTTATATAAAAGTCTTAACCTCTCTTACCTATGTTTATAGGCCTGCGGGATATAAAAGGCGGTAAAATACTGGCATAGTATAAGATGAAGGGGACAATGTAGATTGCAGTGAAAATAAATACAGGGTGTCTTATAAGGTCGCTTATAAACTTAATGTGGTGGTCTATCAGACTGTGATGAACAAATTTAACATAGAAAATTGTTTCCGAAACCGTGACTAGCCGCAGGTGGAATGTAAAGTTCATAGGCGCATTGGAGAGCAGAAAGCGGGATTATTTAAGGCGAGGACGAAGATGCAGGACAAAGATGAATCGGAACAGTAATAAGGAATTTACCTCTACGTATATGGGGCCATGGATGGAAATGGACAAGCTGGTGAGGTACATGCACTGAAAGCGCTTCTTAAACAGGCGTCTGCCAAGTCAGCCATTGTTTAGATTGCACCGCAGATTAAGCGAGACAAGTGGGCACACCAGTCAGCAACGTACTACAAGCTGTGTTACGGGTAATTTAGGCTACTTATATGTACGTAAATCGTTTTCCCAAGTCCTCTCAATTCAATTGTTCTGATCTTTGTTCCTGGATTCTTCTCAATATTCCGCAAGCGTGAGACTTTTCGGCACGCCAGGCACTAACTACTGTAAACACTGAGTGACAAGCTGTAACTGGCTCTCTTTCGCTCAACTTCGAGTGTGTCAGCGCCAGCGTGCGGTACATCAACTCGACCGACAGTCGACTTACCGGCACGAAATAGATTCATAGCAGACGCACATGCGGATCACGAGCCACGGTTTGCCGACCACTGGCGTAGGTCAACTAATGAGAAGGAAGAGAGGATCACGGGAGTTAACTATGTTAGATTTTTGGAAGGAAATATATCTCGAACAGCTATATTCGGCGAGGTGTAGAGAGAACGTTTTTGGTCATCTGACAAGTCTAATACAGGGGTCCAGCAACGTGGTGCCCTCGAAGCATTTCTAAAATGCCCGCTGTTCAGATGTCTAAATTTTAAATATTTGGGCAACAAATATTCGTAATTGTAATGAATAATATAATCTTAGTAAAAATTCTAATTTTAACTTCGCCATTTTGTTAAAACACGATTTACTTGTACAATTGCACGAATTGTACAGTTAAACTTTTTACAAAAACTGAATCTTAGCGACATTAAGATAACATTTCATGACTAGATGAATCATTTTTGACTGCAAAAAGCATTTGATTCCGCAGCCAGTGAATTATTTTCTCGTCTGCTCGTATTCCTCGTATGCTCTGTCCAACCACGGCATGCTACGCTTTACAACCATAACCTCTGGCCATACATAAACTTGTCATTTCATGAATTCACATTACGAGTTCTAAGCAGAGACGCATTCTTCTCTTCGGATTAAAAGATGATGGAAAGACAGACAGCGGTGCTTTTGCAATGCTTGGTGCTAAGAAAATAATTTCATTTCAATTGATTGTCGTGTGTCAACGAATTATTTCTGTGCCACGGCAACAACAATTTGAAGTTTTTTGGTTGGCTAGGAGCATTTATGAACAATTATTCCATAGCAACATTGTTTTATAAGTGTTTATGCAATGAAAAGTAAATTGTTAGAACATAACTTTTACAATCTCCATAAAGTAACTATATTTTGATATAATTATATGCTTATTTTTATTATTATTATATATATATATTAATATTGCAGCCGCCATATGAAAAAGAAATTAGGAACAGAAGAAACATCATTTTAATGTTGCGATAGAAGAACAAATCTATTAAACTTATCATAAAGAAAAACATGTGCGCTTATTTTTCAATTTAACTGTAGAGAATGTCAAAAACTGTAATGTGGAAAGACATTTCATTCACTACTACAGTGCCCGCCGAACGATCGCTACGATGCCTTCCTAGTAAAAACGATTGCTGACCCCTAGTCTAGCAGGGTGAACAAAGAATATCAACAAATGAAGTCAACGAAAAACTGTGATTAATAGCAAATATTTTATAGCATATTTAGAAACATCTAATATGAATACGTGGAAAATAAATCTTATATACTCCACGACAAAATTTTTATTGACATATACAGTCTGAACAGCTTATAAGTGTGCTTTACCTACCGCTTATAAGTGGCGCAGAATAAAATTTGTTATTTTATTATATTTTGAAAAGTATTATTTCTAATTGCAGGTGTCTTTTAATCCCAGGAGCAGATATTCAAAGAATATGGTGCTGTTACGGCTTTTACGCAATTGTAGAAGCAATAAGCATGAAAATATAAGCTGCATTTTCATCGAAATGAGAAAATGGAGCTCTACTTTAACAGACACAAATGCAACTTCAATAAAGCCCTTCAATTCCATTCCGGGACCCAGAAGATTACCAGTTATTGGTCATTTACATTTATTTACCAAATTCGGTAAGTTAATTGAATTAATTGGCTTGGTATTAGATGAGATTATTTCTATGATAGCAGGAAAGGAATTCATTAGAAGGTGTTATAATAAGAGACGACATATTACTAAATACAGGGTGATAAAAAAATTGCGCACATCAGGCTTTCAAAAATTGTGGAAATTACAAAATGCATATTCATAGCTAATTTTTTTTTCAGTGGTTTAAATTCCCATATTTCTGCAACTAATATAGCATTTGGAATGTTGTTTGAACTTTAGGTTGTTTATTAGCTTTAAATATATTTATTTGGTGAAAGATGGAGATGGGGTTTTTCCAAGTAAAGCGAATATTTTTGATTGCGTAGTCATCTTTCTCACACTCTCTGTTGGTGACTGCAACATTTTATTCCTGACTTCGCCCATTTGGTCCGAACTCAGAAGAGACAAGCAGCCAATCCTTATGGTGAGCGCGGCGACAGGCGGTCGATTCTTACGGTGAGTTCTTCGAGTTTTTTTAAATCAGTTTACATGGTGGAAGATTGCCGTATTACTAGGTTCACGAACATACGGGAAGATTGTTTTAAACGCTTCAGCAACTTTTCCATAAGAATGCATGTAACGCCCACGCATAAAATTTCGCTCAGCTGAAAAACACTCATCTCCATGTCGCACTGAAACTTGTTGGTTTCTAAATTTAACAGCATCAATTACAACTGAAATTTCAAATGATATGTTACTCATAACACTATACGGATTGTAATCAATCAACTATTGCTGACAAACAGTGTCAGAATCAACTGACAAATGCAGGTTCTTTTATAAATTTTGTCTGAAAATAAGAAAAACTTATTACCTTTTCTTGTTTGTAGGAAATGTTGGTTGTGCCTTAGCTTGGAGGGGGGGAGAGCTTGTTTTTGACCAGGGGTCGGCAACCTTGTAGCTCTGGTGTCCCGAACCAATCTATCAATATGATTCAGGATACCGCACAGTAGGAAATAATTGAAACAATTTGATTTCCCCGCCAATGCATTCAGAATTTAGAAATAGAGGTCAAGAACATAGATGTTGAATTTTATTACATAAGGGATATTCGAATGAAAGGTACGAAACAACACTATGGATACATTGAAATCTTTATTCACAAGTAATCACCAGAGGCCTGAACACAAATATCTCACCGTTTCACGAGCCGAAGGATTCCCTCTTCCCAGAATTCCTCTAGCCGCGATAGAAGACAGTCCCTCATTGTACCCTTCAGTTCGTCAACCGAATTGAAGCGCTTCCTTTTAAGATGTCACTTCTCACCAGGTCGTTCACCTCGTCCATGAGTTCGGCCATGATTACCGTGTTTACATGGCCTGGTCTTGAGTCATCACTCAGGCCTTCACGAAAACTGGCATTCCACTTTTTCACTAACTTGTCGGATACACAGACTCCCCCGTATACGACCATCATCCGGCGATGAATATCAGGCTGGTTTAAACCCTTCCACAGTCAGAAATCTGATAGCACCTCGCTGTTCTTTAGTCGTCGAATTTTGCAATGTGAATGCCATGTTGTTCTCACATGCACTACAGCATCAATTCGACGGAACACACAACTGACTGCTTCTCTTTTACATCATATGAAAGCGCTCACGCATTCGCACAACCACGCCGAACACTACATTCTTGTCCTTAGGTGTCTCACTACGTTATTTTGTATTTAGAATTTTTAATACCATGCATTTCAATGGCTTTTGTATTATGTAATAGAAATATTTTTTCCGGAAAGACCAAAACCATATCCTTTAATCCACAGCTTGTTTACGTGCGACATTTTGAAAGAAGAATAAATTAAAGAATAACAGACAATATTTTTCATTTCAAATAATAAGATCTTGCCAGAAATCTTTATTCCAAAATATTTGCTTATTTTTTTTTTTAAAACTCGTTATCGAAATCATTCTAAAAATCTGCAAACACAATTTGCATTTCAAGGAATAATTATACAATTTTTGAAATCTTAATTAGTTTGCAATTCCGACAAGCAACGAATGTTTTCTGTATTAAAAATTAGGAGTTTTACGTGAATATTCTTTTTTGTAGATAATAAACTATAATGGGTTTTGTAAATTAGAAACTTTTATGCTTAACGTAAATTCGAAACTTCTTAGGCTCAATAGCATGCAAAATTGTATATGTGAATCGTTTATTATATAATACAAACTGTAAAGCATAATTGTATTATAAAGTTATTTAGGTATGGTATAACGTTTTAGGTCCTTATAGCCTTGACAAGCTGTACGTCGCATACGAAGATCTGTACAAATCATATGGTCCCATTGTGCGATTGGATTTGGGAAAGTCCATGGTTCTTCTTTTTAACCCAGATGATATTCAGAAGCTTTTGGAAATGGATGTTAAATATCCAAGAAGGCCGCCTTTTGAGGCTCTTAGCCACTACAGGCTCCAACGAAAGGAGAAATACAGCTCAGCTGGTTTGGTCTCAGAGTACGTATTTTAGGCTTTTTTTAATAAGATTTTTTTAAACTTATAGCTGGCTTCCGATCATTGATTTTTCCTTGTATTTACTGATAACGACACTGTAAAGCTAGAAGTAAAATGTAATTTTGGGTGTAAATAGCAAAAAGAAATGAGTCAGAAGAGAAGTCAGTGTTAATTTTAATCTCTAGTTTTTTTACTTATAATTATACTTATTTTATTAATTTTTATTTCAGAAATGGTCCGGAATGGCTACGATTGCGGAAAGCTGTAGGATTTATAATGGATACCAGCTTCGCTAAATCTTACTTTTCATCACAAGAACAAATTGCCACGGATTTCATCAATAGGATGCTTCGTGTTCGGGACTCCATTGGATGTATCAACAACTTTTTGCACGAATTATACAGATATACAGAAGAAGGTAATACATATTATTAATAGTGTTGATGCATTACTTTCGAAATCTTATTTTATTCTTATTGTATTGTGTATTGCATTTTAAATAATAATTTTTTCTGATAGTAACAGAAAGACTATAAATATTGATTTTAAATTAATTTGATCTTTTCTGCTACCATAAAATCGAAAGTGCGTGACAGTAGTATTAACTTATTGGAAAAGCTTCATAAAGATATGACGGTGCATTTACGCATATCAGCTGCTAGCCGAAACAGAAGCCTTTTACAAGCGTATTCTCGGCATAAAAGTGCCATCGCCATCATGAAGATCAGTTCTGAATTTGAAGAAAGCAACCTTTACTAGTGCAGGCACCTTTATCATGGGACATCTGCTTTACAAACAAAATTTTTGTTTTCTACTCTTATTAGTAAAACAAAGGAAATCCTACTTGAATAACGATGCCCTAACATAAATCGCTTTTCAACTTTATGGAGATTACTTGCTTTAATAATCTCCTTAAAGGTGCAGACAACTTTATCTCGGGGCAGGCTTGTGAAGGTTTCTGTTCTGGACAACAGTAGCTGACTTGCATGAAATTGAAACCTTTGTGATGGGGCACCGCTAGGAAGGCATCACTGTTTACTATTCTTAAACCACTGGCGAGTTTTTATTATTATTATTGTTATTTATTTATTTATTTCCGGAAGTATTTTTCCTGAGAATAAAAGAAGTACATAGAAAACGTTCCAGTACGTATGTGGCACCAAATGGGATCTTTCCAAACGGGATGAAATTCCGAGAACGGTCAAGAAAGTAAACCGAAGTGGAGAGACTGTAGTGGCTCAGTTATTACACGAATAATAATTATATTTAATTTCAAGTATGTTATATTTTTGCACGTGCTTAATTATTTTGTAAAATCAACGCTTTGTTAATATTGATATTTATACTCAAGTTAAATGACAAGTAATTGTTCGTGATGATCTGATGATTTTGTTTTTGAATTTTGATTATCGATTTTGATATTGTGTACGTCATTCTAAGTAGCAGCTTATTTTGATACTTAAAAAACTAAAAACAGTAATCTTAGTTATTCGGTAGTGAGTCTTGTTTCTAAATTGTAATCCAGTTTGAATACCGGTAGCCAAAAGGCTAAAAGATAATTATCTCCTGTATTTGCATGTGTTCCAATCAAATGGAAAGCGTTAGAGACAGACGTCACGCAGCGCACGAAAACAAGTACTAATCGTCTGCAGAACTAAGCTAGTTTAGGAGTTATGGTCTCTAATCATGTGAGTAGCAAATGGTCTGCTGAAATTATGGTGTGGAATGATTTGGTAACTAAGAACTGAAAAAATTGCAGCATCACAGCTAAGTCCAATTTCGAACAAATGCTTATTAAATTTAGTAGTGTGTCCTCCACTGTAAGGTCGATTTTCATTCTTAGTTCATCATCGATCAGTTTTTTTCTAATCGGGAAATGAGCATTTACATTTATTTTCAAAATCTTGTTCTGTTCTAGCTAAAGTTTGTGGAAGACTGCCTCTGAGGCTGAAGCTGAGGTTGCAAATGGTAAAGTTTCAGTAAATTGATGAATTATATTACGCAATCAGGCGTAGTTGTTTTTCTTTGCCACGCGAGTTTTTACAATGATATCATTTTCAATTAAATTAGACTCACTACTTGGTTTCGAGTAATGACAGTTGTAATTTCGTTTGTGTTTCTTGAATTTATGCACAAAATTCAATAAATTTGTTGGTAAACAATTTGTAAATTTAATTTCAGTTATGTAAAAGAATTTTGTTTATTTCCCGCTTCGTATATCACATTTCAGTGCTATCGACAAAATGAATTCGTTTGGGTAATGATATCATTGCTTAAATCATTATTAATAGTATTATTTACGGTCTCTATTTATCATACATTGCTATATGCGAAATTTTTAGATGTGGCTCAAAATATTGCCAAGCGCGAAAATCCCGTAATTTTTAGTTTTAAAGTGCTTCGAATTTCTTAAATTATTAATAAATGATGTTACGTAAAAAATAGGGAAGAAAAAAATTCGAACAAATTTGATCAGAGGAGCTTTATAATATCATTTATATTTAAGCAAGCCTGTATTTTTATTGTTATTATTATTATTATCAGGCTAAAATAATATTTAAATTCAGTTCTCTTCATCTGCTTGCTTTTTTTTTGTAGCTCTTTAAAAAATAATTTATATTTGAATGAACTGCTTGATTAACTAACGAATTTGATTTTGCGTTTGTTTTCTTGTCATTAAAGTTTTCAGAGATTAATTTGTAACGAAACCTCTTACAGTGTTTGGAATGCAAAACATAACAGAAAAATATGTGTTCATAATAATAAAAGAAATCGTAATTACCGTAAACATTTTAAATATACTTTAGAAATGTTTAAATCAATACTACCTTTTGCAAGTAGATGGCGCCACTCTCCTTTCCCTTGTCGTGAAGAATCCAGTTAAAAAGAAGAATGAAAAAAAAAAAAAAAAAAGTAATTCAGTTACTTATTCTCCGTAATAACGATTCAAAGTAAAATTTACAAATGACGGGAAAGGAATCTTCATAGGCATCTGAAATTGAAGTGAGATTACTACAGCTGGAAGCAGAATATTTCAAAACGAAGATTAAAAATTTTGGAACAAAAGGGGGACAAACTGTAAGCAGAGTGACAGTAACCCGAGGAAGAACACCGTTGTTTCTGACAGTACTATAACCAGTGTCGGCGCTAGTCATTTTGCCGCTCGATGCAGTCTCTGAGAGTCCTAAATTATGTTGCCCATTGCCTTTTTTAATTCTAAAACATTTGCAGGGACGTAGCTAGAGGTGGAACAGGAGGGGGCGCGAAATCTTCAACTGTTCCAGGGCGCTGAAAATCCTAGCTACGACTCTGAACTTTTGCCACCTCTAAATTCTGCTGCCTAGCGTCTCTCCTAAATTCTAAAAATTTTGTCATCCCTAAATTGTGGTGCTCGTTTCTTCTCTAAATTCTGAAACTTTTTCGGCTCCTAAATTCCACCGCCCAGTGGTTTGTACTAGCTTTGGTGTCGGCCCTGACTGTCAGTGTTGAGCTACGAAACGTCTAGCAGAGGCCTCCTGCATTGTATGAAACGCACTTTATAGTAAAATGATTTGTGAAAATTTTAAATATTTTGCTTTTTGCAAAAATAGAAATACAGTACACAAGTAAACGTTTTAAGATTAAAAAAAATATAAAGCAAATATCGCAGAAATTTGCATAAAACAATACGAATATTTAACTATGCGACACACTTTTGCCAGAAGTTGCCACATATTATATTTTCTCTCACATCAATCTCCAGTTGGAGATTCAACGGCCGACTTTCAAAAAGTTTCCACGTAAGGTTCAGGATTAAATTCTATAAAGTTTCCAATTTGTCATTAAATCTTAATATGTTGCCCAATCAATGAAGATCTTCTGGTGGAAATGTCGTTCATCGTGCTGAAAGCTCAATTGTTCAGCTACAGCGCTACTAACAGCGAACAGTCTTCATAATGATGTTATTTTCTCGACAATTTTAAAAATTTCGTTATGCAGCTTTCTTGTAAAGGCTGTCTTAACGAAATTCCAAAAAGTGTAATTTCGGGACAGCCTAATTAAAGCATAAGGCTACTTGTGGTCACGTGGGAGGGTTGCTTCTCACAAACTGTTTCTAGCATTCTTCCTATTATTATAGAGGGCATTTAATCTTTTTTTTATTAGCATGCTGGAAAATGAATAGGCTGCCTATCATTCTTTGAAATGCTAATTTATAACTGTTTATTCTGGATTCAAACGGATCCCGGATAAGCCATTTCAAAGTTTTTCTGATGAAATTGTAATGAGATAAATTCCTCAAGCGAAGAGGAAGAATGACCTTGTTTGTTTGCATTTTTTGTACGTAAGTCAAGTGATCTCTGAGGTCTTAGAAATGTATCTCATTCCAGCCAGGACCCCAGATGAGACGAAGGCCGGCATTTCATTTTATTATTTAACTTAATAATGTATTATTTTTTGTCTCTTTACATGTTATTGAAATTTAAGTTTAATTATTTATTATTTTATTAACCCAAAAGTGCTAATAGAATAATCCAAAAACCCTATTCCTAGAAATGGGATTTTGTGTTTGTTCATTATAAACAGCGTACCACTTTCCATATTGCTGCCACCAAATTTTATCGAGCTGTATTATATTTAAAGAAATCAATTAATGAAAAATCTGCATGAATGTATGCATGTTTCTCGCATTGTGAAAACCTAGAGCCATCAAATTCTGAATAACATAGTCCTCCACCCGAATATGTTCAACTAGAAGCCTGAGTTTTGAATTTCGAATTGGTTTTATGATTTATTTCATATTTTGTAAAACTTATATGTAATTTTGTAAACTTATATGAATTTTTGATTAACAAACTGAACGATTCGAAAGCGAACAGTGGCAATAATATTTTCGAAACAAAACCTTTTTACCTCCACCATGCAAAGCTGTTGTCATTTTGAAAAACGAGGGAAAAAAGTACAACGCCTCTAAATGCATTTAGAGGCGTTGACCACTACTAAGGCCAGAAGCGGTGGTTATTTATTATGGAAGCACCTTATAGATGATGCGATCACTGCCTACTGTAAAGGGACGGACAGATTGCATCTATGCCTCCTCCAGGATTCGAACCCAGGCACTTTGGTACGGTAGTCAAGTGTAACTCAACTACCGTAGTATAATTCAATTAACAAACTCGACTTATGAAAGCAGTGTGTTCGGAAATAAAGTATTTTTACCTTTTAACCAGCATGTTGCCATTTAGTAAAGTCTATCAGATTTAATCTGGAAGGTTAATGAGTAATAAATTAAACGATTTAAAAGCAATTAACACAGTTCTTAATATTTTGTCTACTTTTAATGTGATTGATTTAAATAAACATGTATTAAAAACATGAAGTGTCTAATAAGAAGTATTCAATACTTTTATGAAATTACACTAGCTGGACTCATTAAAATTATTGTATACTTTTTCTTTTTTATGATAACTATTTTAGGTGGCTGGGTGCGCGAACATCTATTTTTTAATTAAATAATATAGCGAATATAAAATTATGTTTGGCAACCTCTAACACTCTATCGGGAATTTAAAAAATATGTTGTTTTCAAGTATGACTGAATTTAGACGAATTTAGGAGTAAAAGGACTAATATAAGTCTAATTATGATACGGAAGACGTATCATAATCACAGTTTTATTTGTCTTGAAAAAAAAATAATAATAAACAAAGGACGCACAAACTGGAAACGAATTCATGAAAAGGTTCGGACAAGTCCTCGAGAGCTCCCTAAAACTCACCACTAATTTTAACCATGTATTAAATATCCATAGTGTTGATTATTATTTATAATTTATTATTTATAACCATGTATTAAATATCCATAGTTTAACATTTTTTAAGGTGGAAAGTTGGAATAACTGCAAATAATGTTTTCGCAGATGAGTACATATTTGTCGTACAGCGCTTGGTAAAAAGTAAGAATATAGAAAATACGGGAATATATTTCTGCTAAATAACTAATGGCAGTTGTTTTACAAGGTGTATACTTATTTTTTCATTGTTGCATACAAACTAAGCCGGTTAAAATCTTAAGATTTCTTTTTATTCAGAATCAAAGGCGTCTAGAGGCCTTATAATTTTTCTTTTCCAAAATAAGAGTCCTTCATATCACGCTTTACGCTTTACAGCATTTTATGAACGATTTAAAAATAGCTAGAACTATTTTGCGACACTCCTTCGAGAGCCGTAGCATTTCTCTCTTCCCACGCAGTTGCTTTCCAGTGTTGAGAATGTCTGGAAATCGCATACACCTACGTAAGGGTTATTCTAAGACACAGTTGATTAAGTTATTAATTTCGGGTAAAGATGCAAATGCCACAGCAAGAATATGAGGCCTGGCATAATATTCACGGAGCAAGATTCACTGTTTTTGTAGAAATTACGGCATGCTTAGCAAATAAACCCATGTTAAAAAAACGTAACCTTTCATTTCAGCCATCTGTATGAGAGAAATTATAGCACAATATTTCGCGTTACACGCAAAGTAATGATTTTTTTTAAATAACTGTACAGGAATATACATGCTGAATATAATTTAATGGAAGCAATTAACTGGCTTTCAGAAACTTTACCTCTTGGTTGTCTCACTGAAAATAACTAAATTATCACTATCAGGCCTAGCTCCCATGACGCTCCTATCGGGGCAGCACTCGGGACCCGAGCTTAGGGGGCTCCGAGAGAAGAGAAAAGATACATCGATTTTTCATATTGGAGAATTTATTTAAAAAATTCAAAAATTAAACCTGCTAACGATATATATATATACAAGGTAGTTAATACAATACTGTATGACCAATTTGGTCTAGATAACATTTTGCGCAATATGCTGCAAAATAAGTAAATTAGAAATTGTAGTAATTGTAGTATTATTGTCTGTTTCGGCGAAACGCGTAATGGGGTTAGCTTGATTCGACGTTCAATTAGATATTTCCCTTGAAAAGCCAGATTGGACGTCGAATTCAGCTAATTTACCATTTTCCGCTTTCTATTTTTATCTGATTTTGTTTGTTTTATGTTTTAACTTGTTCCTTGGTTTGATTTTCATATGATTTAATTTTTCAAGTGTCACATCCATAGGTATTTTTTGCCATTACTAGTTTCCAACGCTAAGTATTTTACTGTGTTTATTTTCTTTTCTCGTGTAGAATACTTTTTGGAGCCACAGTTCCTGGTAACTTTTAGGCGAGCGTACTGCAATTTCTATATATATATATATATATATATATATATATATATATATATATATTTTCACTTTTCAAGCTTAGAACTTATTTATCTACTTAAAAATAAAATTTATTTCTAATTAAGTAAAAAAAGTGATACCTGCGAATGAATGGATGACTAATGAAATTATGTCAAACCTGCTAGCAGGTGATACCACTATACAGTCCAGCATAGATTAAAGGCTTCTAGAAGATAGGGTTTACCAGAAAGGACGAGGAAAAAGGCAGTACTCACGAGAGTGTCGTGGTAGAATCTTGCAGACTGGTGTTCTTACGTGTTTCTCGAAGGCCATGGTTCTTAAGGAACTTTATTTAGGTATAAAAAGGCGATCCAAAGACAGCGAACAAAAACGATTAGCTCTTGTTACTTTTTTCAACGATTATAGTCAGCGATCTAACCTACCTGTGTCTTTGTGAAGCAATATTGGACAAGAACGGCTTGCTAATTTAGCTTTCTTTGCTCTCAACTAAGCATAATCGAGCCCCAAAACCTAACCGTTATAAAATAATTAATTTAAGGCGTTTACTTCCTTAAATTTTTCAAAAAAGAGATTTTTTATGCCCAAGTACAAAAATAAAATATACTGAACAATTTGTATGTAAACATTTTACCTTAATTTCAAGTATATTGGATATGTTTAATATTAGGCCTTGTATTAATTATATAACTTCGAGTATCATATTCTTTTTGGATTAACAAGATTAAACAGGAATAAAATTTGCCTATAATTAGTAGACATCAACGAACATTAAAAAAAAATCATTCAATTAAAATGCCTAAAGCTATTTTAGTTATTAAGAAAATAATCAACCTAACTAAAAGGGAGAGATGGATAAATCTTGGAGAGACAATAAACTTCATTACTATCTGTTGTCCCGGGGGCCTTAAGATGGGGGCCCTCCATCAATATCTGTCTGATTCGGTCCGAGTTGGCGAGCCCTATAAATTAAGCCCTATTAATATTTTTTAAAGCATAATTTGCCTATGCGTAGTTTCGGCTTGTTTTTACAAACTACAATTAGCAGGCTTTTCTTAAATATCGCCATTCTTCGCAGAGCTCATGTCGCCTCTATTAGGGTACGGTTCCGAGTGCCATGAAGTAAATAATCGAGGTAACAGAAATGCAGTTCTGATTGAAATCAATCAAATACTAAAAATATTCAAATAATCAAAAATTCAAATAATCAAAAATTCAAATAATCAAAAAAAAAAAAAAAAAACTCAAATCAATCAAATACTACAAAAATTACTACATTAAAAAATCATCTGCTACATATGTTTTTAAAATCTGAATTTAATAGATAAGCACAAAAGCCTTTTGAGTTTTTGTAGTGACAGTGCGTTCTATTTATTGTTACTCTGCTTATATGCAGTTGCTGTTACAGCTATAGGATTAGTTTGCTTTGGCATTAGATTGGGTCTTATGGATGAAGAGATTTCAAATTCTGACTGGAGCTCCAAGCTGACAAAAGCTTCGGATGATACCATGCAGGCGATGGCTGACACCCTTTTAGGTTTCCCATGGTGGAAATTCTTCAATACACCAACTTACAAAAAACTTGTAGAATCACAGGAATTCTTTAACAGGTAATCTTTTTTCACAAAAAATTATTATTGCATGAACGTTTTTTGTTTATTATTATTATCACTATTATGTGCATGTTTGAGGTGTATCATACGTGTAAATCTTCAGCACGCAATGTATCTGGACAACAATTAAGCAAAATGAGGAAAAATGTTCAAGGCGCGGTTCAAAAGTTTGGTTGTATTTTCTTCTTAAAAAGCTTTTTCCCCCCCCTCCCTCCAATTTTTAAGTATTAGTCCATAAAAATATAGAGCATTTTATGGATATTACTCATTCCAACAAAGCTGTAACAGCTACACTAGTTAAAATTCTATCCTGCTAGCGTATGTGAGATGCAGTTGAGTATGTTATCATAGGTCCATAACTAGATAACAAGGCACAATAAGAAAGGGAAAATATTTCTTCCAAAAGAAAATCAGAATGATTTTTATTGGTGCCATATCGAGATGGAAATTATAGTTCTTATTGTGATAATTCTAAAAGTTAATTTTTCTTTTTATTTTGAATAGCTAGCTCAACTCAGAGGATCGTCAGTGGCATTTCATGAATACTTTGACATTTTTTACAAAGCTATGGCAACATTTTTAAGAGCGAAAAATTCTGTAGGGAAATACAGGCAATGCTTGAAAATCAACAGTTGATTAGTCTGATAACATCAAGTATGCCAAATATTGATAATTCCTTGAATAACATTGCAGTTAAGAGAAAAGTAATTTTACAACTGCTATAATTTAGCTATATGACATTAGTAGTTATACAGCGAAATTAGTTATACAGCGAAAATGTCCTGATTATTCTTTGATCGGTAATGCTGAGAACAAATCTAGTTAAGCAAAATTTCTTTATTTAGTTCCACTCCTTTACTCTAAAAGCCCACCAGCGGCCAAGCGGTAAAGTCGCTGAACACTGGTGGTTCGGTCCGAGGTTCGAATCCCACGAACGGGCTGGCTGCATGGGAGTTTTCGTGGTTTTCCCCATGTGTAACGTGTATAGAGACAGTTACCCTTAAAAAGACCTCAACGAAGGCATCCCTCCCTTAAGGCAGATAGCCCTCGAATGCTTTGCAGTAATCTAATCTAATAAACCAAACCAAACCCTTAGAAAGTCCTCCACGAAGGCATCCCTCCCCTTAGGCAGATAGCCCTAGTGTGCTTTGCCATAATTAAATACACACACCTTTACTCTAATACAGTGGCAAAAAGAAATGTTGCAGTTATCGTCTAATATCCTTGCGGTTCCAGGAATGGCCAGCTTTGCATTTTTTCGTGTCTTGAAAGACAGTTACCTTGCCTTATATCTATTTATGTCCAGTTAGTGAGGAGGGGTTAAGTGCTTTCTGCAAACCACGGTCAGAAGAGTCGGATGATATTAACCTGAAATGTATTAAGAATTTTCCTGATCATCGAAAAAATATGCGATACTTCACTCAAAATCCGGACTGCAATGATCGGCAAGAAACGCGTGGCGATGCAACAGGAATAAAAGAAAGCAGATAAACTTTTCTTTGAATATTCGCACTGAAATTTTAGAGACCTTCAACTTAGAATCAATAACAGAGAAGATATGACAATTTTCTGAATTTCAGTGTCTCTTCACAAGAAATCTGTAAAAGGAGGCTTGATACGGTTGGCAATGGATCAGTGGCTTTTGGGATTAAGTTTAGTGAATAACTAGGCAATTTCGGTGCAAGTTTTACCATCCACAATTGGATTTATGGTAAAGCACGTGATGATTATTTGCCTAAGTGAGGACATGTCTTGATAAAGTACTTTTTTAAGGCAAACTGGTCACGCTCAAGCTATACATACGGAAAACTGCTTCCTGCAGCTGGGTTCGCTGGGATTTGAACTCAGTATTCAGACGATTTTACCGCGTGACTAATGGTGGACATTTTGCCATCCCAAATTGAGCAATTTCAATCCGATGTCTTGCCGACAGTAGGTCAGTGACGACCAACATTGTGTATTTTAGAGTACTCATTTTGGTTACCTAGCAATATCAAACTAGATTAATGGCATTTGTAGAAGTTTAGTTGAGGATTTGAGTTGTGTATTAATCTTCCTAGACTGTATTGAATGTGATCATTTTGCAACTTCAATAAAGGCTACTTTCCTTTTTTCCTATACACCTATTTTTTAGGAGCTAAGGCACGAATTCTCGGTATATCATACTACAAGTACTTGTATTTTCACCGCGAGTAATTTAAGGATTTGTGAGATTTTCGTTTGCTTTGTAAAAAGCATCTTATCAACTATAGGTTGTAAAATGCTTTGTGAAAAGCATATCAACTATGGGTTGTAAGAATGCTTTGTAAAAAGCATCTTCTCGATTATGGATTGTAAGAATGTGGACAAAAGAAAAAATATGAATACTTCCCTAACTTAGATGAGAACTCTTATTTACATATAGGAAAGACGAAATATTCACTCGCCAGATGAAAGAATTTCGCAACTTTTAGCACTAACACTCCTAGAAACAACCACTGACCCTAGTACTCGGTCAGTCTTACGGTATATAGTATTGTTTTGGGCAAAAGCCATCCACTACTTGCAAAACGCAGCCAAGGCTGAGAGCTGCTGTCAGATGGTAATCATTTATCTAAAGCCTCAAAAAGTAATTTTTTTCTGAGTCTCATCTCGGACAAAAGTTACAAAGAAATGCTCCGACTGGTTCAAAATCTTTGAAGTTTGGGGGGGGGGGTAGAAAAAAAACTGGAAGGTTTTAGATAGAATTTTAATGGTATCCCAAAAAGTTTGTTAAGGTTTTTCATGCTCTCGCTGAGCTTGTAGTCTTCTAATCTGCACTTGCACTCACTCCTGCTAACCTACTTCTTTTGTCTTTATAGTTTTATTATCAAGCATCGTTTTCTTCCCATTTACGCCATAAACAATTCCACAGTAAGATCACAAAAATTTTGAAAGTTGCATAGCAGCATATGTTTAGAATTCCCGATGCAGTGTTAAGTTTTCGCATACATTTTTACATTTTTTTCAGTCTTTTCTCAGTTCATTATATAAATATTCAGTTTTCTTAGATTTCTTAGAAAATTTAATGTTCTATTCAGTGCATGCCGTTGGTCGCCTCCTTGGCTAGTTTATCAGCTGTTTCGTTGCGATAAATGTCAATGTGCGCTAGCTCTCATGCTAAATCAGGCATCTTGAACGTTGGAATATTAAGGTGCTGCGGCTTAATATCTTGGACACATTTGCCGCGGATGCTATGCCCTCTGATTGCTGCATAGATTATATATGCTAGACCTAAATGCTGCTCAAGGCTCTTACCAAAGACAGGCGCATTTGACTCTTTGCTACAATGGATGTGTGGATTTGTGCTGACCAACGGCAGACAAGTGAGATTGGTAACACAACAGACCTTAAATAATCTTTGCGGTTAAAAAGAAAAAGTAAGTGACATTTATCTGTACTTCAGCTGTCTTCTAAAGACGTAAACCACCTTTCTGGAGATTTAATATTTAAAATTATTTGAATAGGGCAAAGCAGACAAAGGCTCTCTGTCTAAAGAGTGGTTTCTTCGTAAGGGGCTTTCTAAGAGAAACTGGCTTGTATCCCCGTTACGTATGAGAAAACCATGAAGACACCCGTGCAGCTAGCCCGTTAGCTGGTATTCGAGCTTGGACGGAACTACAAATGTTCAGCAGTTATAGCCTCTGGGCCACTAGTGACCTTATTTGAAGATTTTGAATTTTATGTTTATGTTATTGAAATGTCATCTGTAGTCAGATAATTCGACAAGTTTTTTAATCCTAAATTCCCCTTTTCATTCTCTTTTTTCTTATTTATTTATTTTTATTTCTCTGACAGTTTTGCTCAGGACTGCATTAAAAATGCAGAAGAGAGGCTGAAGAATCCGGAATACAAAGATGATGTCACCTTAGAATTTTTCAGAAGGTTATTCGAAAACAAAGATTTAAAGTCAACAGATATTAGTCTTCTCATGACAGAAATATTTTCAGCAGGAATCGATGCAGTAAGTATGAGTAATAAGCAATTATTTGGTTGTAGCAACCAACTGTGTATCATGCGTCAGTTTTATGTAACTGAGTTACGTTTGCCTTTGTTACTGTCATTTACAGGTTCGAGTGTCATCAGATTAACTTTATACCCTTTTAACAAATATGACTGTACATTATTTCAGAGAAAATTTAGTTTTGGAGCATACTGGGACACTGATTCTTGACATTAGAAATCTTTAAGCACCTAAATGACGTCTGGAATAAAAAATAGACAAATTTGAGATTTTTTAGTTAACACTAATGTTCTTTCAAAATAAAAAACTTATATTAGAATATGAAATTTATTTCTTTTTCATTAGCGCCTTTAAACTGCTGCATAAATTCATTTTGGGCTTATCATACAAATATTGTTCTGGCTGTTCTAATACCCGCTTGTACTAGTACGTGTTTAGAAACTGATTCTAATAATCGAAGGAAAAGTATGTTGAATGCATTATTTGATTTATACACAAACCATTTTCTGATTGTTCATATCAACAGCGCCCTTCGTATAATATGTATTACCTAACAAAGTATCTTCATTTTCATTGCGTTATTTCATGAAAGGAATCAAACATCTCGAATGAAAGGAATAATTTACAGTGGTTTATAAAAAAGCCTGGTTAAGAAACTTTTCTGGATAATTTTTAATTAGTTTAATCCAAAAGTAAACAAGAATATAGTTATTAATTTAGATGTCAAACAACAAAAATCAGTGTTATATTTGCGAATTTTCACAGGACTAGTTTCAATGGTTTTACCGAACCATCATACTCAGCTACTAAAGTGCAAATGAACGAGGTAAGATACTGTGATAATGTAAGATAAGAAAGGCTGGACAGGAGTTAAGCCACTAGCCTCATCTATTGATAAAACAAAAAACTAAAACATAATTTTCTTAAAGTCAATGTAAAGATGGAGTGGAATTAGGGACGTTTTTAAATTTAAAACGCCTCTAGAAAATCTAAATCACTAACGGAAGAATTTTTTTTCGACTAATTTTGGCTGCATAAAAATGGTGTGATTTTCGGACCAAAGGTGCTGAGCAACAGAAGACTTATGTCTTTCCTTTTTCCTAGCATATGCCTCGTGTTCTTTAACGCGAAATTTTAAGGCTGTCTTAGTTTGACCAATGCAAATTAAACCCCACTGGCAAAGAATCCTGTAAATACCCTAAGAATTTATATCCGAAATGGGATCTTTAAATATGGAACTCGGAATTTTATTAATAGGAGAATAAACGACCCGAAAGATAAATTTCTGTAAAATACGTGCAGCTTTATAGCTAATTGATAGAAAGAAAGCAATGACAACAGAAGTTTTATAATCTCCTAAAATAAGAGCGTGCCTTTTGGTGTGTTGAGTGAATTAGATTTGGTGAATTAGATTTTCCAGAGGCGTTTCAAATTTTAAAAAATCTTTCTATTTTAGTTAACGACCCTAATTCCACGGCATCTTTACCTTCAAACTTTAAGAAAATTATATTTCAGTTTTCTTGCTTCATCAATAAATGACACCAGTAATTTAACCCCTGTCCAGCCGTTCTTATCTTATCACTGTATCTTATCTAGTTCATTTGCACTTTAGGAGCTGAGGTTGATGGTTCGGTAAAACCACCGAAACTAGTCCTGTGAAAATTCGCAAACATAGCGCTAATTTTTGTTGTTTGACTTCTAAATTAATATTTGTTCAGTGTGTTATTTTGACCTAAAGAACATAGCTAATACTGATTTTTATTGAATTTATTAAATTATGTCACAGCATACTAGGGCTATCTTTCTAAAAGAGGGATACCTTCGTGAAGGTCTTTCTAAGACAAAACTATCTCGTATTCACACTCAATATCAGAAAACCCAAGAAACGCTCATGCAATTATTGTTCATGGCCGTAGGTCAGGAATTTGAATTTTAATACTTAATGCCATTACTCAGGTTATTAAATAAGCACTAAATACTATTTATCATCTACATTAAGTTTCAGAGCACTTCCGAAGAGAATCAGTTGCTTATAAATATTAATGTAATTTTTCCTCTAATTTCTTGATCTTTTTTTCTCCTTTTGGCCCATCCTTTTGATGTAATATCAGCAGTCTTCCTCAACCACTTCATCGTTTTCCACGAGACAGACTCGTCGCTTTGAAAAATGTCATCAAGCGTCAGGAACGAACATTCGTCGGGGTTAAATGCGATTTGGATTGTTTTCCTCGAGAAAGACTAGTGGCGTCGTGTTTTCCAACAGCCAGAATGTGGCGGAAATGAAAACAGGAGATTTATCGCCTAGTTAGTCACTCATTTTTCAGAGTGGAGTTGTATCAGTACTATACAAAATAAAGTATGCATAAAAAGAACGGGAAATAGGAATGCACTTCCATCCCTTTTCAGCTAACACTGCAATTGGAACTACTGATAGTTTGAAAGCATGCCTTTATGGGATCATCTTGGCTGATTTTCAGATAACGCACTAAGGAATACGTAAAGAACCAGCGAACTTTGCCTGGTCGACGTAGACGTTCAACACACTAAAAAATAGAGTATTTTTGGTAAAATAGAGAAAATCTCGATGCTCTGCGCAAGCAGCAAGTACTCTGAATAACTTTATGTTTGAATCTGGAGAGTCTTGTAGAATTTTTCGATGTCAGAAAACTGAAGAAATTCATTAAGCCCTCCCCGGGATTTGAACTCCGGACCTCCCGATTACGCGTTTGGCATGCTTCCGATTCTACGATGGCACGCAGAAAGGAGCAAGAAAATGCCAAAGGACGACTCATGATGAGGGAACCCAATCGCCAAATACTGGTGATGATTAATTATCGTTCACCACCTTTTAGCTTGGGTGCCACTTGTAATCTTTTAGAATTTTTGAGACAGAAATTCAAGAAATCCGCAATGCTCTCGTCGGGATTCAAACTCCGTACCTCCCGATAACGCATCGAACGGCTTCTAGTTACGCCACAAAGGCACGCGGAAAGGAGGAAGAAAATAACTTGGTCTTCATGCAGGTAATCAGGATAGCGTTCAGGGTCTATATTTATTTATCAAGCTAAATGATAAAGAACTACTTGTAATTTTATTATACAATAGTAAGGCTTGTTTTCATAAAGCAAGAAGTACTCGGATAAGTCTTCAGCGTTTGCTTCAAGTACTTAAAATGTGTTATTAATATGAATTAACTTTGGACTAGTATGACTTTGTCAAGAATAGAACCTGGTATCTGTACATAATATTCACCATTGTAACGTGTAACATTGTAAGGAGCAGTGGCAACGTATGGATATGTAGTAAGCACAGCAAAGAATATTATTTTTAGCATTTAAGTTGTATTCCTCACAATCAGTGAATAGGTTGCATTTCTCTTCTGTATAATACTTGGTCAGTAATTTGCCTTGAATGCATAAATGTTAATCTTTGTAGTTATGAATATATTGGCTTCATGCGCGTATAACTGGATTCGCTTTATATGCATATGTACTTCACTAACTTTATTATAGCTCTCAGTGTAGTGGTTTCATATGCATATTACTGTAATATTTTCTATATTATTATATGTTATGTGTCCTTTTTGATTGAATATAGATTTTAGTATAAGCAGTCAATAAGCTATCAGTAAATATTAGCAAAATGCACGTTTGATGTTTACGTTTCCTTCCTTATTGCTAGTTAAAAGCTTCAAAAAATCAACAAAATTTACTTTTGATACTAAAAAGAAGGAATTAAATTTTCATTTCTTAATTGCATTTTAATTCTGTCTAACTTTTGAAATGATCTATGACATAGGAGTGGGGGATACAAATTTTGGGAACAGATGTGGTTTCTTTTCGAAAATTTTCTATTTTTGAGTCAAAACATAAATGAATTTTAAATAATGGTTAATTTTAATTAAAATTAAGAAATCATTTCCGTTATCATGGGCGCATATACAATAATTAAAAGTATTGATTTCAGAAATCAGAATTTTATAATTAAGAGCCTCAGTTTCACCGTTCAATTAATTTTATGATTTAATTGAATTGACGCTTTTAGAAAATTTAATTTTTGTATAAGCAACATTTTACAAAATATTACACAAAATGTTGTATAAATTAGGAGCTAAGAGACGTTAAACTAGAGAGGAAAGGCAAAAATTTCGATTCAAAACTGAGTCAACACGTATGAATAAAAAAATATTTATTTTTCCTCTTCTTATAGTGCATTTGAAACTGAAAATTTTCATTGAATTACTATTTGAAAACTAGTTTTTATTTCTTTAGAATACCATCCTATAAAGAAATACATAGGATATCCTATATCCTATATATTTTTTCTGAGGATTACCTGTAAAGCTCTATAGGAATTTCTATAGAGCCCTATAAAAAATTTCATTATGTAACTTTTTTCGCCGTTTTATCATCAATAAGGAATAAATCTTATCATTACTTAAATATTGGATTCGTAAAAGCAGATAAAAATATATTCACGATACGTGCTCATGAAACAGTTAAAAATCTTAAAATGTATATATCACATTTTCACACATTAAATATTTATACATGATTTATTATATATGTAATTTCGATTACACGTCTTTCTTATTAATACATATTTTTATTGTTTTTTAGCGAATTGTAATGTACTTTTTGTAATTAACTTTTTAATGGCCTTTTTAGGGACTTAAAAGATGTATAAATGGTATACATTAAAAGTATTAATGGTATTACTTAGACATATAAATGGTGTTATTTATAGACGTGGAATACTATTTGTTCTCCTCAGTTTTTCTTTCATTACAGACTGGCAATACAATAGGTTATGCTTTATACAACTTGACAAAGAAGCCAGAAGTTCAGGAAAAGTTATACAAAGAAATTCGCAGGCATGCTAAAGAGACGCAACCGTTAACTTACGAAGATTTAGAAAAGATGACTTATTTAAAAGCTTGTATTAAAGAAACGTACAGGTATTTCTTTCAGTTCTATTTAAGAAAAGCAAGTAACGAAATTCCTTTAAAGGGAAGTAATGATTGAAAGTAGTAACTAAGATTTAATTTGTTCATTTGTTAAAGAATTTTTTTTTCTAAATCATGACGTCTTGCAATTTGTTCAAAGTATATTTAATTAAACACGAGAAGATAGTATTTAAAAGTTCTTCTCCGGGTTCTGTCGTTATTTTCTAATGAAATTTTCTTTTTCACGAATTTGCTTTCAATTTGTAAATCAAAATCTAATTAAAAGGAAAACACGACAGTATAAAAATTTAAACTAAGGCGGGAAAAAATTAGATTGGCTAGTTTTTGAATAAACCATTTCAAATACTAATCTTAGTTGGTTATACAAATATAGCTTTGACTTAAATTTGGCAAAAAGTTTCGATACATTTTCAGTCGTTAAAATGTATTTGTTTAATACTTTTTCTCAAAAATTGATGCTATTTAGTTAAGATTTATTTTATATATATACTGATTATATAGTTAGCTATTTAGTTAAGAATATATAGTTATGAAGTGTTAATTCCAATTCTAATCCTCTTAAAGCTTTCAAAATTCTAACATTTTAACTTCTCGTTTAATTATCGTTTTCTTGAACAGACTGCGTTATATTCGTTTTCTCTTTGCATCTGAAGAAAGGAGATATCCATGTCAGACACTCCCGAAAGCGATAGAAATTTATAGAAATACAAAATACGTTTCGACGCGATATTCGCAAAATTCGTTATATCCGATTTTCATAGTTTTTTAGGTATACTATAATCGTAAAAAGTAGCATTAAGTATTAAATAAACTGGCATTAAATAAGCTGGGTAGGATCAAAATGATCGTTCGTTATATCCGGGAGTTCATTATAAACTAGGCTTGCTATAGTAGGGTTTGACCTGTTTTAAAGATATAAGAGGACGAGCCAATTTTTAACACAATTTTAAATGCCGTCTTGCGATTTCTTACAAATAAATGGCAATACCGTTAAAATAAAATGCGTCCTTGTTAAAGTAATCACTTTAAAACAACCGCTTTAAAAAATTCCTTGCTTTTGTTTAAATTATTTAATATGAAGTATTCAAAGAGCTTAATATTTTCCCAAATTCCAGAAGATATTTTAACAGTTTATGTTAGGTTTACTGAACTTTCTAAAATTATAATTATGGGTTAGAAACAGCTGCGAGCTTTCATTTGGTCTATAATTTCAGGGGTGTTCTCATACGTGTTGGTTTATAACTCTGTAAAACAAGTCTCAAACTATAATTACTGGAAGCAGACGATAAGAAAATTTTAGTATTATTAGCTTTCTTCTCAAATTTTTTTTTAACAAGGTTTAATATTTTTAAAAAATAATGGGATTTTCTGGGGAGAACTGCGAAGAAACTTTTTTTAGTCCAAAGGGGCTTTTGTGCCTGAGGGATTATTGTTTTCGTTTTAACTTTTTACGTTGGTTCACTATAAATCTCCGATTCACTTTTCAAATTGTTGCCACCAAATATTATCGCCCTGTATTATATTTGAAGAAATTAAATAATGAAGAATCTACATAAATGTATGTATGTTTCTCGCATTGTGATAAAACAATGGTACACAGAGCCATCCAATTTTGAATAAGGTACGTTTTTACCCTAATATGGACATCTGGAAGTCCAAATTTGAAATATGGAATTTGTTTTATTATGTATTTCATATTTTGTAAAACTTTAACGAATTTTTGATTAAGGGATTTCCAAGCGAGCAATGGCAACGTTCAACAGAAAAATCATTTTTATCTCCAGCGCGCTAGACTGCGTATCGGAAATTCTAAAGATATGATCATTTAAAAATTATTTTTCGATATTGCTGTTGAACGGACTTTTGTGGTTTAAATGCGAAGAACACGAAATTTAATAAATAAAGGTAACACACAAAACGTTAAAAAAACGCCCCTTTGGACGTAATTTAAAATCTAAAACCTTTCAGATTTTTTTTTTTTTAATTTTATTCTTTCAATTGCTTTTCCTATACTTTTAGGTTAACGCCAACATCTGGTGGAACAGGACGTATATTGACGTCACCAGCGGTTATTTACGGTTATCAAATTCCTGCTGATGTAAATATATATTTATTCTATACATTTTATTATTAATATTTCATTTCTCACATTACAATAAATCACAAGTTACAGTCTGACTGAGATTTTAGTTCACCACGTAAAACTTTTAACACTCACTAAAGTTGTCATATGTTTATAAATAGATGAATAATTTTTAACAAATAATAGCATATCCGCATCCAAGTTTAATAAATTGCACAGAGCCGTAGAAAAATTTGATAAATCCAAATTTTTTCTTAAAATTGAGGTTATTGAAAAGATATGCAATATCTTTTTAATCTATATAATAATGTACCGAGAGTATCAACTTTACATGTAAGGATGCTTCTAACACGTCTATTTAGCATAAAAATTAGAATGTCAAACTCGCGGCCCTTGTTTTATTCTACGAGGTAAACCTCGACAAAATAACAAAAATCTGATGACACATGACACAACACTACATACTTCCTTGTGCAGAATATTGAATTATATGTAATATTCCTGCATTTCGTTTAAACATATTGAATAAACAGTTAACCAATTTTGAATTAAATCTACTTCGTCGGCGCTAGGTTCACTTAATAGCGTTCCATCTTATTCATTTTATAACTCAGAGTGCACAAAAATTATATCATCTGAAGAATTACCACAAGTTCTATTCAAATTACATAATAAATCTAAAACGATACGGCAAGGCAAAAATACATAAAACTTCAAAATATTTTCATTAAAAATTGAAAGATACACCAAGTATTGAAAATTGAAAACATCAAGTACAGTTAAAACAATTAAAAAAACAATTTTTACAATTAAAATTACAATTTCTACGCAAAAACAAGCAAATAACTTAAATGATAACTCCGGAATGAATTAAGTATAATTTAATTCGCACTAATAAAAGATGTTACTTTGTTGTTGCGAAGCTTAGTTTTTCTAGATTGGCAACAAATCCTATATTCTGCTAAGTTTCAAATGTAAACAAATATGGCTGCTATGGTAATCAAAAGTTAGGCTTAGCTTCAATTAAATAAACTTTTAAATTTTGGTGATTCCACAGTTATTGCATGCAGGTTAACTAAAGGCATAGATACCTTAACAGGAAGATAAGAACAACATAATTCAATCATTTTTAAAGCAAAATATGCACAATTTACAAACATATAAAAATAAAGAAACTGAGCTCACTGAGCCGACTAACAGAGTGTATATATACAGTGGCGGCCAAAATTGTGGTCACTTTTGGAAATTTTTATGTTTGTGTACTTTGTCTGCTTATAGAAAACGTTACGTTTCACAAAATGCAAACTTGTATATATCATTTTAAAAGAATATTTCTTACTGAATTCAATACAAAACACGAAATTCAATTATTTCCAATACAAAAAAAGTTGAACGATAATAGTTATCGATATACATTAGACAGTGATGATTGCAGTGAGTTATCAGTACTTCGTAGAGTACCCTTTATTTTTGATTACAGCTTCACATCGACGTTTCATTGAGCTGACAAGAGTTTTAAGCTCTTCTTTCCTTATTACATGATGCCAAGAAACAATTATAGCCTCAATTAATTCCCATTTAATTGATGGGAGTCTCATTCGGACAAGAGTTTTCAAACGGTGCCACAAATTTTCGATAGGATTGAGGTCAGGACTGTTTCCTGGCCATGACAACAATTTAATGCTCTTTGTACGAAACAACTCTTTCGATATTTTGGCCGTGTGGCAAGGAGCATAATCCTGCTGAAAAATAAACTAAGCATTGTTGAGACAGAGATCTCTGATGGAAGGTAGAAGTTTTGGTTCTAGAATAGTGTCAATGTATTTTCTGGCATTCAGTGTCCCATCGATGACATGAAGGCGACCAATACCATCTGCTGACATGCATGACCAAATCATAACACTAACTGGGTTCTTCACAGTTGCTTGAATGCAGTCAGGATGTAGCTCTTCTCCTATTCTAAGTCTTACATATTTTCGCCCATCACTACCGAATAACGATATCTTAGTTTCATCACTCCATATAACTTGTGACCACTGATCATCTGTCCAATTAATGTGTTCCTTTGCCCACTGTAGTCTTTTTTTTTTTTTTTTCGTTGCTGAAAATTAAGATAAGGCTTTTTTTTCGTGGAATTCTACCTCTCAGTCCAACATCTGTGAATCTTCTCCTGATTGTTCTTGAACTGACAGAAACACGAGCATCTGATGGCCGCTGATGACATTTTTCTATCTTGGAGACATAGTCTTTTTATTCTTCTGTCATCAATAGATGTGGTGCACTTTTTTCGGCCTTTTGCTTCTTTGTTTTTTATTGAATTTGTCTCCTGATATCGTAAACAAAACTTTCGGACTCCAGATGTAGTCACTGAACTACTCACCTGTCTTGCAATTTCAGCATAGGAAAGACCACTTTCTCGTAACACAATATAATATTACATCTCTTTCTAGGTGTCAAATCTACTCTTTTATTTGATGTCATTGCTTCTTGACTAAATATTAAAAATTTTTACAAAAATTCCTACTTGTAATTGCAGTGTATAAGAAACAGATCCTCCTTCTACAGAACAAAGCAAAATAATGAATTGTTTCAAGTGTAAACATGATGTCAGCTTCTACTGGCAGTTACTAACATTTGATTGGTTCTCAGAACAAGAACAGTGATTGGCCAGGAAAGCTAGACATTACAAACCACTTCATAACTTTTTTTTTATTTATTTATATTAAAGTACATATAACTTTTTTTGTATTGCAAATAATTGAATTTTGTGTTTTGTATTGAATTCAGTAATAAATTTTTCTTTAAAATGATATATACGAGTTTGCATTTTGCGAAACGTAACATTTTCTATAAGCATACAAAGTTAAAAAACATAAAAATTTCCAAACGTGTCCACAATTTTGGCCACCACTGTATATATATATATATATAATTGCAACCAAAATTTTGGTGCAGCCGATTGTAACCAAAATGCGAGGTGCACATCTACATGTTATAGTAGATGTGCACAAAATTTCAGCGTTCTGAGGCTACATATTTTTGAGTTATGCGAGATACATACATATGTACGTACGTACAGTCGCCACCAAAAAATCTCTTCAGAATTCATTTTAAATTAGTTTTATAATTTGTTAGGGGGAAAAGAGTCCTTTATTCTGTCTTTACTTACAGATGCACGCAAAAACATCGCTAAATTGCGTTCTATAACGGTAAAAATGCATATTTTCGTTGAAATATGATACCCGAAATTTTTCGCACGTACAGTACTTCCTTTTTATACTTAGTACAAGGAAGTGAAAAATGTATAACTATAATATATTAATGAAACTAGTAAAATTCCTCCCCAAATCGAGGGATATACATGACCTCGGGTGCTAAAAAGCACTCTTGTAACGGCCTCTTTTAAAAAATATTTTCTCAACAGACATTGCGACTCGCATTATCGTACACTGATGATTATTTGGCCCACTTGAGGCACTGAGTTTGACATGCCTGGCTTAGACCATATCGTGAATGAACTTCACGCGTTCCCATCCGCAGGCCAGTGCATTATGTAAACCATATTTGGGCTTAATTTTTTATGTTATTGGAACAGAAATTTTCAAGGAATCAGGAATTTCAAAACGTTCCTCTAACGTAATTTTACCTTGTGTTATCACTCATAAATTTTAATGCCCACGGAAAGCGGCTATCGAAGTGATGTGCTAATTAACGTTGTCCTCTCAGAAAGGACAACCGAGTGCAAAGAGTTGATATCCGTGTCATATTTCCTTCCTTCACTTTAAAATAATTGAAATTTTCTTATATACAGAAATTGTACTTCACAGCAGTTTGGTGAAGAGAGTTTTAAGTTTGAAGCGAGGATAAGTTTTATATACGTGTGATCAGGCCTTGTATATACAATGAACACTGTCGTGGCTATCATCTTCTTTTGAAAAATCGCCTCTGAAAGTGATCAATCAGTATTTCTCAGAACATATATCAGTATTGAACATTACCTCTCTAAAACGATCGAAATTATTTGGAACTCATGGATAGTCACTTTAAAGACAGAGCACTGTGCATTTTCAAATACGTTACCGAATGTTTTCACTGAAGATTATGAAGACGCCTAAATAGATATAATATGATATTTCTCCAGGGAAATAAAAGAAAACTTATGTTAATCGCAATGCTCGAACTCACACTCTTACGTCCGTGCGGGTTCGTAATGGATTGCAGGCGCACAGAACCGATGATAGCTCGATAAAATTTATTTTCCCAAAAGAAACACTTTACAGTTCTGGAACTTTTCCGAAAAGTACTCGTACAGCAATTCTCAGTACGATAGAACAAAACCAATAGCTACCACTTCAAACCATTAGGAACGTTAAACTCAAGACAATGTAAAAAGCCTCAAAAGAAGCTCGCAGTGATCTCTCGGTGCTTTCAATATTCTCAGCTAAAGCTACGAACTGAACTCTGAATGAACTGAAAACTGATTCTCTCTCCGGTTTTATGTAGTCTTTCCCCATCCGCCGAGAAATTTCCAGTACCTTCCTTCGATTTCTCGAAGTTGATGGAAGGTATGCAAAGTTACAGTTACATAGGGAAGTTTACAGTTACATAGCAATCAGACCGGTTACAGATCGACTAAAATGTCACTAAATGGTCACCAAGTTTAACGACTTTTGGCAATAAAAATTAGTTGCCAAAATTATTGCTAGCTTGGCGAGATAATCATTTACTTCAATGTTAAATGGACTTGGCCCTGTAACCAAAGAATATGCATTGTTCAGAAGGAAAACTTCTCCACAACAGGAGTGGCTCCGTCCGAACGTAGAGGGAAACAGCTGCGCATGCGCGAATTATCTGTCGCCAAATCTCGAAGCCGGCGTCGAAGTTCATGTTTATCAAGAGTTCATAAAACGAATATCGTTTTAAATTTGTTTACACATTTAAGGCAAAGAAAATATTTTTTCGCGCAAGTAAATTAAATGGATTAGTTATTTTGAGCAAAAAAAAGGTACGAAAATCCGAGTTTAAGTTATCGAGAAAAGTCAAAGAATGTGTGTTAAGAACACGTGTTTCTCAATTTCTTGTACACATCGCGAAGAGCGAAATTCTCGCCGCCAGGTTCCGTCGCCAAATCCCTTGGCGAAGTTTCCCTCCTCTTTCCAGCGGCATCATAGCAAACTAGTTTGCATTACGTCTACGGAACCTTTCTTTCTTCACATGGACTTTCTTTGCTGCAACCTTGTTTTTCCTGCGAAACATCGTATTCTCGAAGCTTTGTTACATTGTATAAGAGAAGACAATTTGCAAATAATTTCCCTAAGGTTATTTACTTTTATATGCAAAATTGATAACAATACCATGCTAGTCAAAGATTAAATATCACAGTTTTTGCATCAAACAGAACTACGCAAAGAAATTTATAATTCTGCTATCTAATCATTCTTACAAGTATGTCTGCCTTTCGATAGCTCACTCTGAACTATTTCCTTTACTGTCAGCAAGTTATCGCTTGACTAAAATTAACTTACACATAAAAACTAATTAAAAATTCAATAACATTTTGTTCGTCCACTTCTGGTGGGTTGCAATTAAAGCTAGAACATACACCAAAATGATCAATTAATTTATCAACAGAAATATTAGAAAATTAGGCCACCTATCTTGTAGTATTAGTTACCAAGATCTAATTTCTCTCAAATAATATGGTGTATACGAGCCAGTTTCCCTTAGAAAGTCCTCCACGAAAGGCATCCCTCCCTTTAGGCAGATAGCCCTCGAGGCTTTACCATAATCACACACACACACACTCAAATAATACACCTGGTTTTATTTGAATAATGAATAATTTGAGCGAATATATGAGACATAACCAAAGAGAAGATAGGACAGTGTTTAAATAAACGTAACTATTAGTAAAATTTAAAAGTAATTGTCACAAAATATTCTGTGATTTATTTGCACGAGCGTCTGAAAAGATATCTAATAATCGAAATCTTTATATTGCTCAACAAGTATCGAGCTACTAAACTTGTTACATTAGAAATAATTCGTTGAACATTGTGGTAATAAAGAGTTTAGAATGGAAAACACCACCGAAAGGTGAGAATCAAAACTCCTGTGCAAGTAAGGCTAGTTTGCAGAGTATGACACGTGTAATGCCATCTATTGACAAGAGTCTAAAGATATTCAGTGAGAATGGAAAAATAAATTAATGAATAAAAGTTTATCTATTAATATCGTGGAAGATGGTTTTAGGTCTTTTATATAACTGTTTTTACATTTCTAATCCAGTGCTGCATCAAACTTTACTAATCTCTTGTTATGAAGAGACAGCCAATCTTTTAAGAAAGTTATGACTGTCAGAGCTAGAAGCAAGAAAGAATACTTAAAGAATTTTAGATTTAAATGATCGATGACTGACCATAAAAAAATTATAAATAATTCTAAATAAGTTGGATCTTTTCCATTGCAGAACAGCTTACGCCAAACTATCTTTTGCAAACAGATATACCTATTAAAGGTAAAATGTTAATTCTTATTTACGTGAAAGAAACGCATTCAAACAAATCTTGGCTAACACTGCTGTCTATTGGTCATTTTGCTTTTATAATAACCTTCTTTTTTTAAATATTTTTTTCTTTACAGAAAGAATTGTCTGTAGGAAGTTCTAAAAGTGTGTCATTTTGTTTGTCTTTTTTCGCTTAAAATGGCTAAACTAAGAGACACATTTGTTGTGTTTAGAAAGGTTTTAATATGTTATCCTGTAAGATCATCTCAGTTTATTTCTCTAACTTTGCAGTCGCGTCGGCGCCACCGTAGCTTGGCGGGTAGAGCCGTATTACGCAACTAACACTTAATAAATTATTTGTTTTTTTATTTCAGGTACTTTGCATAGGTGTCAACCCTGTTATATGCCTGCAAAATGAATATTTTACAGACCCTCTTGAATTCAAACCTGAAAGATGGGTTGATGAAACTTCCAACCAACTGCGGAGAAGGGTTGTGCATCCTTCCGTTTTGCTACCGTTCAGTAATGGAACTCGAAGATGTGTCGGACAAAGATTTGCTGAACAAGAAGTAAAACTCTGCGTTGTAAAGGTTTGGTGGCTTTTCTTTAATTATTTTCTGTCTATTCAAATTTGGAACGCGGAACCTTAATAACGACTATAATAAAAGGACAAAAAGAATATGTTTTGGGTATTGATGAAATACAGATCTTCTTCTGAAGATCCAAAAAGTCTGCCTGTCTATCTGCAAACTAACATCTCTTGTTTACCATCTAAATGCTGTTATTTCAAGAACGGATAGAAATCATGTAAATTAATGAGTGCTATCTTAAAGCTGCCTGTTTGTTATTAGCTTTTAAAGTGTTTAAACTGATGCAGAGAAGTATGTTTAATACAAAAGAATTTGCGGGTAAAAACTGGGGGATAACGAGAAAGTTTTAAATAAGAATGCAATTAGAATAATATGAGAAGCTGCCGGAAGGCTCCTGGACTTCATAAAAGCATCAATTACAAATTGGTCTATTTTGTTTTCTCTTCTGCATCCTTCAAAATATTTTCTCTTTAAATGTATGCAGTCATCCCATGAGTATTTTCGTGCAGTAGCACTGCAGAAGTCCTTTCCTTTAAAAATGTCGAGGGCCATTTGCAGTTTCCGTTGAATGTTAAGCATAATGCCAAAGTCTTCCTTTTTATTTAATGCACGTAGCCCTCGAGGCTTTGCCGTGATCACATAAACTTGTATTTTTTTTTAAATTTAATTTCCAATATGGATAAAAAAGCGAAATGTTGGGAAATAGATGAAATGCTGTTGTTGCTAATTGCTCACTTGTTTGACCTATAGTCAGCCCAAGCCAACAAAATTTCTCGTGGCAAGGAGCACCAAGTTTAAGCCTGTCGTTGGCAACAGCCCTGAGCACCTTACAGTTGACAGTGCGATTTAGCTGAGATCCGCCCCTAATTTTGATGGAGAGCACCCCGGGGAGACGGATCCCACCTCTCTTCCCCAAAAAGCAGCCTCTCCAGAGGACTTTCGGCTCGTTGCATAATTGGAGTGACCCCCATCCCGCACGGACATTTTACATTTACAAACATCCGTGCCTTCTCCGGGATGCGAACCCGGGCCCTTCGCCACGGCAGTCAGCGACGCTAACCGCTACACCGGTTGGGAGGCAGTAGATGAAATGAATCGGGAAATTGAGGAAACAATACTACTGTGATTACTGCCAAAAACTGCATGGTGTTCATAAATGAGCGGGAGCAAAAACCCAGGGCAGTATTCTGAAAGTTCAAATAAATTTTCTGTTGATAATTACTTACATATATCCAATTCGAACACTGGCTATGAATTCATGGATTGTTAGACGAGGATCTACTTCCCAAAAACATATTCAAATTTCTTTCGGTCCTTCGACTCGTTGCACAGAACGCTTATTATCTTTATAACAAACTTTATCGACCTTAAAACGCGAATACCGTTTAGAAACATTTGTTCTATTTGAGATACTGCCACCAAAAGCTGTCTGAAGCAAATATCAAATGTTTTAGTAGCAGATTTATCAAATTTCGCGAAACAAAAATTATGTGAACATGTTTTCTACCCATTGTTAAAATCACAGTCAAAATGCAACAAGTTAACAATATTACCTCAACACGACGGAATTTTGAAAATCATTCCTGCAATGCATATAATCTTACTTTTCTAGAAAAGAAAATTAATACGTTCGTAAAATCGATTCCACATAATAACAGTAATCTTTTGTGTCGCGAGTTATCATATGTTTGAGTTTAAATTTTGGTATCTTTAAGGATAACACAAAAACGCTAACTAGAATGTACTCGTATGTTTAGATATGAGGATACACTTTTTTTAATTATACGTATTGTTTAAAATTTCACGGAAATATAAATTTTTGTTGTAACTTTTCAAAACTAATGTTGATTTTTTTTTTTCGGATATTGGATTATCAAAAACTGTCTACTGTGTTTGATTTGATTTTTGATAAATTTGTTTCTCAAAGCCATAAAAAAACTGTCGTGAATATAACCTGAAATTTAAACGAATCAAACGTTTAAATCTTCATTTTCTAGATAATGATTTCTATGTTCTATAAAACTAGCAGAATGTTTTAATTGATAATTTCTGCACTATGCTTTTTAACATAAAATAATACTCAGAAAGTTATACGATTCAGCAGCAAAATGTGGACTGCATTTGTGCTTTAAAGATTTGTTTTTAAATGAATGAAATAACCAATAAAACATTACACGAACCATAATTAGAAATCTGTCATTCTTGACAAATTCCAGTACATACAACTGTTACTTTTTTAGTTCCAAGGGGATCTCTTTCGAATTAGAATATTTGGTGCAGAAATACTGCAACGAAAGCAATCTAACTTAACGATTATTCGAAATTAAAAAACAATTACTTGGTGCCTTGAACGAGCAATAGGTCGTATCATCCAATAGGTATCAAATTGATGATACTCACAGTTATCATAAAAGTCTTAAAACTAAGTTTGATGGAAATAATTTTCAAATCTTGAGAATTATAGATTTCCTGAGGAAACACGCAGCGTTAGTGAGAATTCTGAGAATCGTATTCTGGAAAATTCGCAGCTGATAACGGCAACTGCGCCTCATCAGTGGCTGAGTAATTAAAGCCTCTGAATATTCAACCAATTCGACCTGGGCTCGAATCCAGGCAAGCGCCTTTTCTCTTGAATACGAGTATTAGTTTTCTAAAAGCATTTGCATTTTTTTCCATATGATTTGCTCTAAACTCAAAATCTAATTCGTGCAGACAATGAGATTCTGAATTGCAAAACAAAAGTCTTTTGAATTCGTGCGTATGTACGGCGATGCGCTTATGTCAAGGGGTCACGTATATGCTTTTGAACTGCAGTAACTCCTGTCGTATATTCCTTGGAAGATGAAAACTGAATCCTATGTTAACATTAATCAAGAATTTGCATTCGAAAAGGTTTCGCATTTATGGGTTTGAATTTGTGACTTCGAGTTTTCTTTTAGGAACAATTTATTTTATGTATCTACAGACAGTAATATTTTTAAATCAAAATAAATAAATAAATAAATAAAACTATGTTTAAATGAATAAAAGTCGTGTAAAGATTTAATTCAAGTTCTGATATGATTCGTTTTGCCCTGAGTTTCCACGGCTGGAACCAGTTTCTTATTTTTTCATATGCACATCTTTAAATATATTTTTATATATTTATAATAATAAGGACAGTGTGTTGCTTATAAATAAATGTAAAATTACTTCCTAATGATTCCGGAGGTGTAAAAGCTATGGACGCTATCATGGTGTAAAAGCTATGGACATTATTGTGGTTTGAAAATTGACGAACGAAGAACTGGAAGTATCTTAGCTTTTGTCATCCACGTGCCTTGTGATGTTTCCACTATCAAAAACCTAAACATTTAATTTATCTTAAACGAACTTTTACACATAGCCAATTCTCTTAGATTTTATTCTTGGCAAGACACAAGATCTTTAATTTGTCTTTCATTATATATTTTTTCAATTTATGAATTTTAAATTTATGAATGAAGGAATTTGTATGGTTAACTTTTGTAAGAGTGAAATTTTTTGATTTCAATTATGATTCTTTTATGAATTTTATGAAATTTTGTATGGTAAATTTTTGTTAGAGTGTAATTTGAAGGATTTAAGACTGCAAATTCCTCTTTATTTTTTTACGCTTCTGCGGAATCCCATTTGCTGTATGAAAGCAGAACTGTGTTTATTTCAGCACATTTTGAAATAATAATAAACAAAATATAGGGTGGCCGAGAAGTCACTTTACATTTTGAAAATTAAATAACTTTTTTCTTAAATGACTGTATTTAATTAATTCTTTTTTATTTTTTGCTTATTCACATGTCCATTCAAATGGAAACGAGCTTCATCTCCCATGATCAACTTGTGAATAAACTCATTGTCATTTCTTGCAGTTCTCTGAAACCTGACAGCATAATTTACTCGTTTCTGAAAGTCTGCTGGTTTTAAAGATTGCACTAATTGAACCTTGAAAACGCGTCACTAAGTTCCTTATTGCAGGCCTACTAGGGGGATGTCGAACATTAAAATGGCGCATATACGATCTTTGCGTTGCAACAATTGACCGTCCATTTTCAAAGTAAAATTCAATTATCTTCACTCGTTGTTCTGTTGTAAACTTATCCATGCCAAAAATTTCCAGGGATTATATTTTTTAATTTCTGAAAAGAGAAAAATATATATTAATAGAAAAAAAGTTATTTAATTTTCAAAATGTAAAGTGACTTCTGGGTCACCCTATAGAATCTCTCATTATAAAAATTAATCTAAAATTTCAATTTTGAAATTACTGTGATCATTAAAAGTCTCAGATATTGCACAAGATTGCCTTTGATATCTGCAATATAACTTTGACTTCCGTTCTTAGTATTTCCATGTTCTTTACCTGTCTTCTCTACAGTCTTTAGAAGTATTCTTTACTAGAATTAGAACTTTTAAATTGCTGTGATCATTAAAAATCTTAGATGTTATTCAAGTTTGCCTTTGATATCTGAAATATAACGTTGACTGCCGTTCTTCATATTCTATATTTTATGCAGATAATCCAAAGGTTTAGAGTCGAATATGATGGGCCAGAAATCGGGAGCAAAATGCGAATGCTGCTTATTCCGGACAAGCCGCTAAATTTCAAGTTCATTGAAAGAAACACTGTATAATAGTAAGTTGTATTGATCCGTTATTTTCAAAGCATAAAATAACAAGGATAATTAATTATTATGGAATTTGATTATTTCGTAGCAATCATTAATCATTATACCCTTAACAGCAGTTTTTAAATTATTATAACTGTAAATTATAGGTACATAACCAAATTTATTTTTACATTTATTTGGTAGTCCCGAATAAATAAATAGGACGGTAGTCCCGAATGGGTATTAATCTAAAAGGAACGGTAGTCCTGAAGTCCCATTCGGGACGGTAGTCCAAAAGAGACGGTAGTCCCGAATGCGATATTAGTCTCGAAACGGCATTTTGCGTGCAATCACTACAAATGGCGTATCACTTTTGATATCGTAGCCAACAAATATTATCGCCCCGTATTATATACCGTCGATACCTGTCGAGATCTCCCGTAATTAAGGGAGAAGTGGACATCTGGCTTTCATGTTTTTCATTGCATTTATATGACCTATGATGTTTTTTCAGGTAAGCCAAATTTTCATAATGTTTTACTAATACAGGAATAATTATTTTCTGTAGAAATAAATGATAAAATTCTTAAATGTCAACCAGTTATTCATAATTTTCCCTTAAGGTGTCGAGATGTCCCTGAAAGATCTTATATCTATTTTTACTAAAAATATCGTACCAAAAGTACTAATTAGGCCGCCGAAGAATTATGTACACAATAATTGTTGGTTGAACACAGTAGATAACAGCAGCGTAAGCAGATTCTGACGCGTCACAAAAACCATGCAGATAGATGTGGTTAGACGTAGTTTGAAGCCACCTCGAAATTTTAACATTTTTGAGAGTCTTAAGATCTTCTTGAAGTCGCTGCAACTTCTTTTCCCATTCTTTAGGCAGTGGGGCATCCCAGTCAAGTTTTAAAAACCACAATTGCTGATAAAACATTTTCAACTTGACTGCACATGGTGATAGCAAGCCAAGAGGATCAAAGATTTTAGAAGATTGAGAAATGAACCTTCTTTTAGTAATTTCAGTCCCAAAATCCATAGAAATGTTAAATAAAAATAAGTCTTCTGTAGAGTTCCAAAACAGCCCTAAAGTCTTGGCACATTCATCTGAGTGAACTTCCAGGTCACCTTCTTCATGATTATCAATGGATAAATTTTCGAGAAGCTTTGAGCAGTTTGATCTCCATTTCCTTAAATTAAATCCACGTTTCTGTAATAGCTGTGAAAGCTTAGAGCATAGGTCAACTGCTTCCTCTAAACTGTTTGCTCCAGATAAACAATCATCTACATAGAAATCATTTTTAAGAACGGAGGATACATGAGGATGATCCTGTTTTGCATCCAAAGCAATTTGCCACAAACAGCGTGTTGCTAAAACTGGTGCAGATGCAGTGCCATAAGTAACTGTACATAATTTATATGTTTGCATTTTTGAATTAACAGATTCTCTCCAAACAATTCTTTGTAAATGTTGATCCTCATTATCTACTAAAATCTGGCGGTACATTTTTTCTATGTCAGCAGAAAAAGCTATTTTATGTATACGAAAGTTGAGCAATATTGAAAATATATCTCGTTGTAGTGTTGCACCTACCCCTAAAACAGAGTTCAAAGACACTGAATTTTTAGGTTTACATGAACCGTCAAATACTACACGAAGTTTAGTGGTAGAGCTACTCGGTTTAACAACAGCATGATGATGTAGATAATATACTTGCTTATTTTCTTCATTCTCAACAACTGGAACCATATGATTTAAAGTTTCGTATTCTTGCATGAACTCCTTGTATTGCCTACCAAGTTCTTTATCTAAATCAAATTTCTTTCCATGGATAGAAGACGAGAAATAGCCAAAGGTTTGGAGTCGCCTAACTCTTCAGCATTACTGAAAATGGGCAGTCGGACAACAAATCTGCCATTTCCGTTTACTCGATAATTTCTTTTAAAATGCTTCTCACAAAACTCTTCTTCAATCGTTGATTTCTGATTTTGGAACGTTAATTCTTCCAATTCCCAAAAACGCTTAAGTGTTGCATCGACGTTATCCTCAATATGTAAACTAATGCGATTAACACTAATGGGATGCGGAGTATTGCCTTCTGTTTTAATTCTGCCTGATACAACCCAACCAAAAATAGTATTTTGCGCAATTACATTTTTATAGCCAACAATCTGCCCTGGCTGAAGCAGAGAAAAGAAATGGTCAGCTCCAATTATCATGTCTATTTGTTTGGGCGTACTGAAATTCGGATCTGCAAGATTAATTGAATTCAAATAATCAAGGTCCTTGCTCTCAATCTTTACTGAAGGCAAATGCGAAGTTAATTTTTTAAGAATATATGCTTGTATTAAAACACCATTTTTTTCAACTCAGATTTCGGAAACAATTTTACATTTTACATAACCACACGAGTCAAAGCTGCTTCAGAATCACTAAGTCCCTTTACGCAAATACGGGCATTTTGTCTGCGTATATTTAATTGTCGAATAAATGATTCACTGATGAAAGAGAAGCTTCACTTCCACTGTCAAAAAGAATGATACATTCGTGACCTTGACCAGCAGAATCGTAAATTATTACTGCCGCCGTTGGTAAAAATGAAGTACTCTGACCCTGAATAGAAAAACTCGAAATATTATTTTGTTCGTCTGAATTAGAAATTTGTTCATCAGATGGAGATGAATTTGACACAACTACGTTATTACTTTTAATATCTTCATGCAGTAAAGTATGGTGTTTTGCTTTGCAAATAGAACACACATTCTGCGATGAACAAAATTTTAATTGATGATTTCCGAAACAATTGAAGCATAATAAATTCTTGCGAATGATATTTTTCCTAGTCGTAATATCTGCACCTTTAAATTTATAACACTTTGATAAAAAATGAGAACCATTGCAATGCTGACATTTTAGAACAGAATTTTATTATTATGTGAAACATTCTTCGAAACAGAGCACTGATTTTTATGCGATACTCGCTTTTCATTATTATGAGTGTTTAACATTTCAAGTGAAACACATCTTGAGTTTAGGAATTCCAAGAAAACATTCTAAAAAACATTCTAAGGTAGGAAATTCTTCTTCACCATTTTTTTGTGACCATAAATGGCGCGTTTCCGGATCGACTTTTTCTAACAAAAAAAATAAATTAGCCAAACATCTCTAGACGAAGCCTTTTCGCCAAGAGATTTTAATCCACGGATAACTTCATCAGATGTATCAGATAGTTTTCTTAGATTAACAGAATCAGCGCTAGTAATTTTGGGTTGCTCAAGAAATGTTCTGACAAGCGACATTACAATTTGATTTTTTCTATCATAACGATTCATCAATTGTCCCAAACCTCCTCATCATATGCCTCATCGTATGTAGTTTCGGAAATCGGAATGTGCTTAATAATAGCAGCAGCTGGTTCGTCTTTTAAAAGTCCTATCAAATATTGGAATTTCTGAATTTTCGCTAATGACTGATTGGTATGAACTGTCGCCATGTACAGAATCTTTAAAATTAAGCCAATCAGTATATTTACCATTGAAACTCGGAATGTTTAAACGCGGAAGTTTAAAGCTAGCCTTCAACTGCAGTGGGATTTGAAATCAAAACATTTCTGGCCGTTACGGATTCAATGGCGGATTGGTACATTACTTTCGTTTCAAAATATTTAGCTTCGAATTCAGCAATTTCAGAAGCTTCTTCGGGTAAAGCAGCATCATATTGATCAAATTCTTTAAATATTTGTTCAATTCTTTCTACCTATCGTGCTTTTAATTCCGTTAAACTTAACTGATTACTGAAACTATTGTGAAGCCGCGTTAGGGTAGATTTCGTTCGTCCTCTTAATCTTTTAAGATCAGATTCACTTAATTCTGTCATTATTACCATGAATAATGATTAATAAGCACAAATAACTTCAACAAGATACTTAAGCAGCAAAAAATATTTCCGCTTATCTTTCTGACGTCACGCAGACGATTCGCAGTACCAGTACTTAAAAGTTCGTTAAACACAGTTCTAAAGCATATAATAATAACACATTAAATAGCATTAAATGCCTCACCTGGGGAACCAAATAGTTGCCTTGAACTAAAAAGCATCAGCTTTGTATAATAAACTTTATTGTTACTCTAAAACATAAAATTCTTTAAGAGAAATATTGCCTGCAGCGCAGTGCGGCTAAGAACGCTATTCTACTGATACATAAACATGAACAACTGTTGCCATTCACACAAACTTTATAGTAAAATAAAGCACGTTGCCAGTAACAAGATTATTGCAAAAATCATAACATAAAATTTAGCAGTGAGGAAATAAAATATACAAAGAAAAAAGGAAATGCAAATATTAAATATGCATCCAACATTAACTAACCAACAGAGAACTACCAACCTTAGAGTCAGTCCAAGCGTGAAAGGAAATTTCAGTACTGGAGAGCCCACCAGCGGCCGAGCGGTAAAGTCGCTGAACACTGGTAGTTCGGTCCGAGGTTCGAATCCCGCGAACGGGCTGGCTGCATGGGCGTTTTCCTCATGTGTAACGTGTATACGAGCCAGTTTCCCTTAAAAAGTCCTCCACGAAAGGCATCCCTCCCCTTAGGCAGATAGCCCTAGTGTGCTTTGCCATAATCAAATACACCAACACCAACACCATCAGTACTGGAGAAGGCTTTACGGACAGCTTTGATTAATCTGGCAAGGAGCAATGCACCTAGGAGTTCCACTCTAGGTATGGACACTTGTTTAATGGGAACAACTTTGGTTTTAGCAACCACCAAATTGACTTCATTTCTGTCGTGAGATGTTGGTTAGCAGCTCATCCTCGAAAATGGAAGCCTTTTGTGGCAAACAGGACTTCAGAAATATATGATGCTATTCCCTATCAACAGTGGAGCTATATTTCGTCGAAACAGAATCCTGCTACAGAATTCCTTCTAGAGGAATCGATCCTAAAGTTCTACCGAACATATCCCTATAGTGGCATGGGCCATCATTCTTAGCGTTCGACAGTTCAAAGTGGCCTCTACAAGATTGTTCTGTCAGTAATGAGACTAACAGTGATGCAACTGTCTTAGCTGAACTGAACAAAGGACAAAATCAATTTTTTGTACAACAGCTTATTTGACTAATGACACTCTGGACAATTTATTTCAGAACTGTTCTTCTTTATCTAAAATAGTTAATGTAATTTCCTTTTGTTTAAGATTTATTTCTAGGTGCAAAGAACGGGTCTTTGGTTCTGAAGATAATAGGTTAAAAAGTCCTGCAGTAGTACCTTCATCTAATGAAAGGCAAGCAGCTATGAAGTTGATCATTAAATGGATCCAGTTTGTGCACTTCCATAAAGATATAAAGGATCTCAAAAATAATTCATTTTTAAGTCCTAAAAGTGTTTTAAGCTCACTTTTTCCTATTCTAGATGATGATAGTGTTTTACGGGTGGGAGGTCGGCTGCAAAATTCTGACTTGTCATTCAATGCTAAGCATCCCATAATTATACCAGGTCAACACAGGATTGCTTTGTTGCTTGTTAAACAATATCATGTAACTTATATGCATGCAGGGCCCAGTTTACTAGCTAACATTTTAAAGCAAAGCTATTGGATTGTAAATGGTAAGAAACTTATTCAGTCTTTTATCCATAAATGTATTGTTTGTCACAGATATAAATTGTCATCTAATAATCAGTTAATGGGAAACTTGCCAAAACAAAGAGTAATACTTGAGAGACCATTTTTTAGCACAGGTATTGATTATGCCGGTCCTGTAATTTTGAAATGTTACAAAGGTCGTTGCTTTAGGACCACTAAAGGTTATATAGCTTTGTTTGTATGTCTAGCTACCAAAGCTTACCATATTGAGGTAGTTAGCGACTTAACTGCAGATTCTTTCATTGCTGCTCTTAGGCGATTTGTATCGAGGCGTGGTACACCTCGATACTTATTTTCGGATAATGGTACGAACTTTGTTGGCGCAAAAAGAAAATTGTCCGAATTGCAAACTCTGCTACTTTCACTTAACAGCAATGAATTTATTTTAAATTATTTGGCTGAAAATACTATATGGAATGGAAAATGATTCCACCTGCTTCTCTCCACTTTGGTGGTTTGTGGGCATCAGGATCATAAAATTTCATTTGAAAAGAATGATAGGAGAGACAAAGTTAACATTTGAAGAATTAACTACTTTACTAACTCAAATTGAAGCTGTGTGTTAAATTCACGCCCCTTATCTAAAACTAATCACAATGATGTAGGTAATTTAGATGCTTTGACTCCATCACATTTTTTAACTGGGGATGTTCTTACTAGCATCCCAGAACAGGATTTTTCTAATATTCCCAAACCCACTTTATTAAAACGATGGGAATTATTACAGCAAATGAAACAAGGCTTTTGGAAGAGATATTATAAGGAGTATTTAAATTCCTTACAACAAAGATACAAATGGAAGCAACAACTTCCAAATTTGTCTGTAGGTGATATTGTATTAAGGAGGACAACATGCCTCCTGGTGTTTGGCCTTTAGGTCGCATTGTTGTTGAAAATCCATCCAGGAAAGGATGGCAATGTTAGAGTTGTTACAGTAAAAACTGTTCATGGTTATTTTAAAAGACCTATAGTAAAACTTTTACCATTGCCATTGCATCGGGAATGATCTATTGTTAATGCAATGGCAAGGGTGGGAGTTAATGTTGGATGCATATTTAATATTTGCATTTCCTTTTTTCTTTGTATATTTTATTTCCTCACTGCTTAATTTTATGTTATGATTTTTGCAATAATCTTGTTACTGGCAACGTGCTTTATTTTACTATAAAGTTTGTGTGAATGGCAACAGTTGTTCATGTTTATGTATCAGTAGAATAGCGTTCTTAGCCGCACTGCGCTGCAGGCAATATTTCTCTTAAAGAATTTTATGTTTTAGAGTAACAATAAAGTTTATTATACAAAGCTGATGCTTTTTAGTTCAAGGCAACTAATAATGTTTAAATTAATTCAGAAATTTAAATAATAAAATAATGTATTCAGAATTGAATATGCAAGCGTACGCTGTAGAGGAGATAAAAGCGCACCAGGGGTTTTCGGCGATTTGTTTGCCCTTACTGCTTCACGGTATCCGTCGTGTTTCTCGCAAGAGTTGGAGAAATTTTATTAGGTAACACCTGACCTTAACCCACGAACGTATGGATGACGGAATGAGATGGTGAATTATCGGTAGATTAGAGGCAGGCCAGTCATAACAGCAGGTTGCTACAGATCTTAATGTTACGCCCAGTGTTGCCTGTAATTTGTGGAAACAGTTTCAGGACACTGGATCCATATCGAAAATATCTGGACAAAATCGACGAAGATCCACAACGACGAATGAGAATCATTATTTGGTTATTTCAGCTTGGCGACACAGGATTGCTACAGTTTCACAGCTCTCACATGAGGTGTATGCTGCCTAGCACTGGGGTACTAACGATAGAATATTAGAGGCGCTAAAAGCGTTCCACAAAATTACATACGCAGTTTATATTTTACCCAAACTAGAATAGCTAGCAGATGCTAAGCAACACGTTGCCAGCTGGAAGGCGAAGTGTGAACGACGATGCGTAGTTAGTTGCGGTACTATTTACAAGCTTGGAAAGACTTTGTTTTAATCCTGAGCAGTGACTGGGCAACAGATTTCGCATTGTGGTTACTTCAAGAAAAACGCAGATGCCCTGAAGGGTTTCTTCTTTAATTAAAAATTACCAATTTAAAGGTCTACCTTCAGTTTGTTTCAATTATGTTTAATTTGGTAATACATTTTTCTTCATATTTTTATATCTTACATATAGTGACAGATTTTAGAATGGAAAAGAGCTTCTCCAATGCCCAATTCTTGACCCATGGTGCCGAATTGGTTTCCCTGGATTCTCAGCAATACACTCAACTGCTTCGAACCATTTGTTGAAGGACGGTCAGAGAGTTTTAGATCACCAATTGATCCAGTCTCCTAAATTTTTAATTAATCTCTTCACAGCTAAGTTAAATCACTATTCCAACCATATTTTGTATGAAAATTGCAAACTGTAGTGTCAAACTTTATTATTTTTAAATATTTCTCAACCATGAAAACGTTCTTTCATGTAGTGCTCCATTTTCAATAACCTTATGAATTGTCAGCTTTCATGCCCCTTTTTTTTTATTTTATTTTAGTTTATTGCACAAATAGAGCAAAATTAAAATTTGCGTGAATTTTGGAACACTCTTTATTAAGAATGAGGATTATATTTTCAATTTTAGGTGGTGTAACCTATTAATTTACTTCATTTTTTTTTGGCTTGGAATTAAAAGAAAAATAAAAAAATAGCTTTTTTTAAGTCAACTAATATTTCTTTTTCAGTAAATTATACTGAACTGTATTTCCGGATTTTTCTCGGCAGTGGTTTGCAGATGCATTCTTATACCAAATGTTCTTAAAATTTCTTCCAAATTTTTAATATCAAAGCCGAGCAGATGAATTTGCCTTTCTCAAAATGATATTATAATTAAAATTTGTTTAAGTATTTAAGTTGCTTCTATAGATCCACATTTGCTTCTTATTCGAATGTGTTAAAGGACTTCATATTATTTTCTCCTCATTTTAGGTTACTTTCTTCGGCAAGACAATATATAATCTCTGGAAGGATGTCCAGAGAAACATGTCTATACAGTGCCAAATAGCGAAAATACATATATTGTATCTTGGTTGAAATCGTTTGTATAAAAAGAAAACTTAAGTGTATTAATTTCTTTTCTTATTTTTGTCAATATAAATATATATATTTTTCCTTTTGTTGTTATTTTTATAATGCAAATATTATTTATAGTGAAATTATTTTTATAATGCATATTAATAATAAATACTCTTTCTCACCAGTAATTTAAATCATTAGTATACATTTCCATTCTTCGTTTTGCTTAAAAATTCTTTATCGAAGCACGACATTTATTGCTTTAAAACAAATTCCGATTAACTGAAAATAAATAATGTTATGCTTAAGAATACACAGGGTGAATCTGAAGAAGTGGGCCAAACTTTAGTTGGTGATAGAAGGCAACCATACAAGGAATATCCTTCATAGAATATATGGTCGGAACGCAAGCGGGGAGAAGTTACAGGGTAATTTTCCACTGCCACATTTAAAGAATTAACACAAGAATGAGAGGAGAGACTCCAGAAAACATTTCATCAACAGAACATACTCATAGATGTCCTCTTCTTGTAATTTCTGAATTTAAATGCCAACCTACTAAATAAATAAAAAAAAAAAAAAAAAAAAAAATTCTCTATATTAATATAATTCTTAAACGATAAAAATATACCGAGGAAAAAAATGATTTCTTTTCTCATTAAATTAATAAACATATTTAAGAACACCAGCCTTTCTACCGACGGAAATCGAAAATTTACGGAAACAATGCGCAAGTCATACGTGTATCAATTTTTGAGAAACAGACATATTTTACTTTTTTTACAAACACATGATGAAAGTTCCGAATTCTTAAACTGTTTCCAAAAGCATGTGAAGTTCACACCGTTTAGCTGTATGTGGCTTTTTACTCATTGGTGATATAAACTAAATGAGTCCCAAGTATACTTTATGCTCATTGGAAAACTCGACCAAGTTGTCATTAGTAAACTAGTTAGTAAACTAAAAATTAAGCGACTTCAAACGCAAGAAATCAAGGTTTTATGTGCATGTAAACAAATATTAAGCCAAATTACATGAAAATCGAGAAATTTTAGGAATAACAAAAGATCGGGGAAATATATAGTAAATCAAACTGGCAGTACTGTCGAAAATGCGAATTCTCCCGCCTTTAGGTGAGAGAGATGGCACTTGCGCCTACATGGCGTTTCTCTGAATGAACTTACCTTTCACGATAGTAATGAAGTTAACTGCATTTAAGAAGCGTTAACACTTATAAGTAGGGCTACCGTACTTTAGGAACCAGCATCTAGAACCATGAGCACTTAACAGGAGTGAGATGGGGCACATAAACCCAACCCCTGGAATCGAGTTAATTGGCGTTTTTGTACTAATGCATGTAAAATGTATGTGGTACGTGTGGTTTTGTACTAATACAATGCTATATTCTATAATCTAATTGTGACCCTTCAGAATAAAAAAAAACTCAATAATATTTCATTGATATAATTATTTATCTTTCATCTCCGTTCGCCCTTGAAAATATTTTGCGGGTGCCCATGTACATTTTATAATCAATTTAATTTCAGTGATTAGAAAGCCTACAAATGACATGTAAGCTCGTATCATAAAAAAGACTTTGTATGAAGGAAATAAAGGAAATTACGTGTAGACTTAAATAAAGGAAATAAAGGAAATTACATAGACTTAAAAGTATTCAAGATATTAAAAAGTAGACTGCATTCATTTTGCCTCTTCTGTATTCTGAAGATGTATATTTTTCATCACATACCGTATTTTCTAGCGCATTTTTTCCTTTTGCACCAGGTTCTAAAAGTTTTTTAAATATGCGTGTAATTTTCCCCTTCGTCAGTATACGTTCAGAGAACAAGCTTCCTTAAGTTTAAAAATCGATTCGTCTACGCTGTGACTGTTTTCGTCTTATTAACGAAGACAAACCCTTTAAAACTGCCTGCTAAGGACACGCCGAAACTTTTCTTTCTAACTGTTGAACTTTATGCTAGCCTAATATAAGAAACGACAATTCACAGCGAGGCAAACATGAACTTTTCTCAGTCTAAGATTTCACTGAATAAGCTGCAATTCACTTTATGTAATTATTTATGAATGATTTTAGGCTTGAGGATTAGCACAGACAACAATAAGAACGGGCGAGATTCGAGATACACTAAAGTAGAACTGAAAATATCTTATTAGATGTTGTAACGCTAATATTACTATGCATTATTACTGCAATGCAGGTTTCTTTTAAGGAATAATATTGTGATAGTTACCTGTAGTACATGACTACTTTTCATTTATTATGATCTTACTGTAACCGCGTCTTTCGGAAATTAAATTACTCGCATAATAATGCCCTCTTGACTTTTGGACGATAAAATTCGTAAAAGAAGGGGGAACATTCGAAGAAGTACGGTAATATTTCTCTTATCGACTGCGTCTTGGATTTTATACATTCTTAAAAATAACTTTGTGAATTTTTGGAATTCGCTCTCAAGTTCTTCCACTCTTGACTCCTGTAATCAATCTATTTCCGGAGACTAAATATTGTTTGTGGTTGAAAAATTCCTTCTGCTGGAATTGTGAAACTGATGCATTTAGTTTTTTTTTTTTTTTTTTTTTTTTTTTTTTTTTTAAATCCGCCCATTTTGCAATTCCGAACAAAGCCAGAATTGGATTTTCCTGTAGTATGGTAGCAAAATCTAAACGCTACCATATGCACATTTTGTTTCCTGCGAGAAAATTAGCCTAATTTTGTAGTTCTATGGAGGGAAACTGAAAGATTTATGCCAAAGATATTGTTTCGAATGTTTCTATAACCGTCACTGCCATGTAAGTAGTATAAATGCATTCATGCTTTCAGTTATCTCAGAGCTACGAAGCATGACAGACATTTCTTTGAAATCTTGCTTTTCGATAATATTTTGTATTTTGAAAAGTGAAACAAAGTATTGAGACTTTTAATGATAACTCCGATTTAGATTACTGATTGCGATTGACTTCTTTAAAATCTTTCTCTTGAAGTCCACTTCTACATTTAACTGCTAGTTAGAGATTTCGTAACTTTACTACTAAGAAATATATTCTTTAACCCATAAACAAAAAAACTTTCTGACTTGAGATTTTTATGTTTATTCCCACTCGATGATCCTGCCAAAATATGTTATAAATAATATATATTATATTTTGTTGACTCGGCATTACCGCTATAAGTTAGATAAACTGTTGTTTCAAAATTATTTCGAAACATGTTGTTTACAAAATGCAGATATATTCCTTGGAAGCAGATTAATTTAAGATAAAAATTACAGCATCCAAACAAAAAAAAAAAAAAAAAAAAAAAAAAAAATGTAAATTTGAATTTTGTCTACAAATTTTTCTGATTGGTTGGTATTTCAATAACACTAATAATCTAGAAACGGAATATGAGAGGATTTGAGTAATAAAATAGTTACTAAATACGAAGTAATACTGTAAGGACTTTATGGGAAATATGATTACATTTTGCTTAGTTAAAACGCTCTTATATTAGGTCAGTCAAAAGGTAACGCAGACTCCTCTATAAGGTGGGTAATAATAAGGACTAGAGAGTTGAAATTTTGTAGGTAGAAGAACTGGTTCTTGCCTCTTTTGGAAATGATATGATCAACGCATTGCACGCAACGCACGTGCTTTACTGCATTTGCAGCTATCTTTATTTCCTTTACAAGAATTCACGTTCATTCCATTGACTATTTTCTGCTTTCACAATCGAAATGAAACAACCAGGTTTCATCACACGTGGTGACATCCATGAAAGCGTTCGGGACAGTTTTTAGAGAAACTTTGCAGAAAATCATCAGACCCGTTTTTTTCTAATACGCATCATCTTCTTTGTCAACAGCCATGTAACCGATGGAGCACAAATTTCTTTGTACCCCAATCGTTGAATTAGCTTTTGCCATACTTGTGGGCTCTTATAACTGTCTCCTAGTGGTGCATTTATTATTTTTGACAAGTTATTCAGTGAGTGATTCGTTTTATCGTTTGTGACGGAAAATTGTCTGCTTGAACTTAAGTGGTCCTGAATGTTTTAATCACCTTATCGAAAGACGAAACCTCTGAAGTCATCGACACAAATTACTTAGAGTCATTGTAGTGTCCCTATAGATTAGCAACAACTTACTGTGACTCGATGTTTTTGAATTACCCCCATATTTGTAGAGGAATTCGGTCACTTTACTTTTGCCTCAGTAGGATGTCACGTTGACTATTCATGGTGGCTTACCTGCAACAACAGGAAATCAAAATTATGCCTCTGACCCTGTTTTCAGACCATTTCCTGTTTTCCGGCTCTGACCACAATCTCTCCATCAGAAAAAAAAAATATATTGAAAAAAATATAAAATGGGATAATTATTTATTTTCTATCCCAGTCACTTATAGAGGAAGACAAAATATCTGTGGCATGATTTTTGGTACCATCTGTAAAAAGGCTGAAGTTGGGCATCAAGTTGAAAACAGGCGGTCAAGACCAAGACATTTTGATACTGGGAACCGAACTGCGTGTTGATCTTAAACGGATTCACAATTTGTTTGGGTACGCTCTATAATGATCTCTTGCCTTTCGCGTAAAAGGGGGAAGGTCCCTCCCACGTACAAGATAGTACTGTACATAATTACAAGATATGGATTAATACATTAATCCATAATGATCTCTTGAAAACGAAACATGAAACGTGTGAATATATGGTACTACAGGTTAAAATAACGTCATTTGTGAGAACCAGAGAAAATAAGACTTTCGTCTGCGATTAATTAACATAAACTCAAGACAAGGATGGAAACAGGAGAAAACTAACCAGTCCATGCCCCCGCGCGAACCTAGACTGATACGAATTCATGCAATCCCACCAGCAACGTCATGTGAAATAAAATGCAACAACACGCGTTCTCGGATGACAAAAATTTAACGGAAATATTTATAAAAATGTTGGGGAATTAGACTAGTCCTACTTATGCATTGACGACACGGTACTTACACTTCGTTAGGTATATGCTCGTTTTCCATATGTCTAATGAACATGC